TTCGGTGTTCCCAGCTCTACTTGTGGCCCTACCGGAGTGTTCTGACGGCACCAACAACTGCAGTGCCAACACAGACTGCGTGGAGGAGTACCTGTACTTCAGCTGTGTGTGTTCAGACGGTTTTGTTTTCAACGGCACAGATTGTGAAGGTATATTACAAGTCTACAGTACGATGTTTAGCAAAGCGATGTTTTGACAAGGTTTGTAGTGCAGTATGCTCAATCCTTGAATAGTGACCAAGAAAAGTTTTTTTGCTGTATGTCTGTTTCTCATACAGTAATTCTAATGTCTAATTTCAGCCGTGCAGCCCAACTACATCTCCTTCAAGATTCTGGACCTGGATCCTACAACAAAAGACTACGAGAACAAAACATCAGCCGACTATCTGGAACTGACAGAGCAGCTGGAGGAACTGGTCAGAAACATCACAGGAGACATCACTTCAGTGGAACTGTACGACGTCAGGTCAGCGGAATTGTCCACTTTGATTACAGATTTTAAGCTAATAATCCCTGTAGCACCATAAGTTAATACAATGCTGACTGATCTTTGTTTCGTCTCAGGCTTCCGGATGCAGGAGTGATCTTCCAAATTAACGCTACAGTAACTGATGTTGAAGATGTACGAAGATCAGTTTTCAACGAGGCAGCAGACGACCGGCTGGGCCCATTTACGCTTGAGGGGAATGCTACAACATTTGGGCCGATATGTGAGTTTCATTGACAATATGTAACATCGAAGGAAATTTAACTTTTGTTACAAAATCACTTCGACAAAATATTCTTAACACTGATGTTAAGTTTGTACTTAGTAAGTTATAACATGACTAAATATCTTCCTGTAGCGCTTCTTGTGGCCCTACCGGAGTGTACAGACGGCACCAACAACTGCAGTGCCAACACAGACTGTGTGGAAGAGTACCTGTACTTCAGCTGTGTGTGTTCTCTTAACGGGAGTGATTGTGATGGTAAGATGTTTTGAAAGTATATAGTGAAGAAGCAGCATCAAGATCAGCTAACCTCCGTGTGCAAAAAAAAACATTACTCTCTTGAAGGTAGCATGCATTGTTAGTTAACCAGTTTTGTTTCTTAGGTGTTGACCTCTTGTCATATACCATTTCAGCGGTGGAGTCTGCCTACATTTCCTTCAAGATCCTGGACCTGGATCCTACAAAAGACTACGAGAACAAAACATCAGCCGACTATCTGGAACTGACACAGTTGCTAGAAGAACTGGTCATGAACATCACGAGTGACATCGTCTCTGTGGACCTGTTTGATGTCAGGTTAGTACGAGAAGACATAAACACTTGGCACGACATTGCTTTAAACCAAATCTTCCCTTCGGTACCTGTAAAAGGAGTATTTTCAACTGTACTATATTTTCTCTCCAGGCTTCCAGACGCGGGAGTGATCTTCCAAATCACATTCAACGAGTCGAAAAGAGAGGCCGTAAAGAGTGCCCTTTTCAGTGAGGCTGCAGACGACCAACTAGGGCCATTTACGGTAGAAGGGAACGCTACAACATTTGGGCCAATATGTGAGTTTCGTTCAGAATTGAAGCTAAAACTTCAAAAGTCATTACAACATAGACTTGGCACGACAAGCATGAAGTGTAAGGCCTATAAATACTAAACTATATCTCGTTACTGAATATTCCTTCAGCTCTTCTCGTGGCCCTACCGGAGTGTACTGACGGCACCAACAACTGCAGTGCCAACGCAGACTGTGTGGAAGAGTACCTGTACTTCAGTTGTGTGTGTTCAGACGGCTTCGTTTTCAACGGCACAGACTGTGAAGGTATGCCACTGAGCTTTTAAGCCACCGATTAAAAATTTTCTAAGATAACGTATTTAGTCCCATGTAAAATTTTAGGTGGTCTAGCTCCAAATGATTGAGTAAAGAAAAAAGTATACCTCAGTTTTTATACTTATGTTTACATTGCAGCCGTGGAATCCAACTACATCTCCTTCAAGGTCCTGGACCTGGATCCGACAAAAGACTACGAGAACAAAACATCAGCCGACTACCTAGAGCTGACGGCCTTACTGGAGGAGCTGGTCAGAAATATCACAGGCGACATTCTGTCAGTTCAGCTGGTTGACGTCAGGTCAGAAAGTGCCTTTGTGGTGGAAATCCACCTTTGTCACATAGCCAGTGTCTGAAGATGAGAGACGAAAATGATTGTTTCTTGATTCTCTCCACAGGCTTCCGGACGCCGGAGTGATCTTCCAGATTAATACCACTGTATCAGATGTTGAGGAAGTCCAAAAAAACATTTTCAACGAGTCGGCAGACGGCAGGCTAGGGCGGTTTACTGTAGATGGGAACGCTACAACATTTGGACCAATATGTGAGTTCAATTCGGAATGCATATCATAGTCATTGGTTCAATAAGCCATAAGCAGTGTTTCAGCTTTATACACTAACATAACACAGCTGGACAAGATCTATTATCAAAACTAAAACTATCTTACTTGTTACAGCTCTTCTTGTAGCTCTACCGGAGTGTTCTGACGGCAGCAACAACTGCAGTGCCAATACAGACTGTGTGGAGGAGTACCTGTACTTCAGCTGTGTGTGTTCTCTCAACGGGAGCGACTGTGATGGTAAGATGTCTGCATGTTGTGAAGACACGTTCTCATGATCAGGTCACCTTTCTGTGCAAATCAAAACATTACAGCACACATTGTTAGTTGACCAATTTTGTTTCTTAGGTATTGACCCTTGCCATTTACCATTTCAGCTGTGGAGTCTGCCTATATTTCTTTCAAGATCCTGGACCTGGATCCTACAAAAGACTACGAGAACAAAACATCAGCCGACTATTTGGAACTTACACTTTTGCTAGAAGAACTGGTCATGAACATCACAAGTGACATCGTCTCTGTGGACCTGTTTGATGTCAGGTTAGTAGAAGACATAAACACTTGGCACGACATTGCTTTGAACCAAATCTTCCCTTCGGTAACTGTAAAAGGAGTATTTTCAACTGTTTTGTTTTCCCTCCAGGCTTCCAGACGCGGGAGTGATCTTCCAAATCACCTTCAACGAGTCGGATAGAGAAAACGTAAAGAGAGACATTTTCAGTGAGGCTGCAGACGACGAGCTAGGGCCATTTACGGTGGGAGGGAACGCTACAACATTTGGACCAATATGTGAGTTCCATTCGGAATTGAAGCTAAATCTTCAATAGTCATAGCAACATAGGCTTGGTAGGACAAGCATGAAGTGTAAGGCCTGTAAATACTAAACTATCTCTCGTTACTGAATATTCCTTCAGCTCTTCTCGTGGCCTTACCGGAGTGTACTGACGGCAGCAACAACTGCAGTGCCAACACAGACTGTGTGGAGGAGTACCTGTACTTCAGCTGTGTGTGTGCAGACGGCTTTGTTTTCAACGGCACAGACTGTGAAGGTACGTGACTGAGCTTTCAACCTTGTAACGGAAACGTTCTTTCGATAACTTTTTAAAGTCTAATATTCTAAATGATCGAGCTCCATATGATTGAGAAAAGATACAAGTAAACGTATTCTATTTCCATATGAAATTCTCGACCATCGCGCTTATGCATGTATTACATTTCAGCTGTGGAGTCCAACTACATCTCCTTTAAGATCCAGGACCTGGATCCTACAAAAGACTACGAGAACAATACATCAGCGGACTACTTAGAGCTAAAAGTCTTACTGGAGGAGCTGGTCGGAAACATCACAGGCGACATCCTGTCAGTTCAACTGGTTGACGTCAGGTCAGAAAGTGCCCTTGTGTTGGAAACCCACCTTTGTCACATAGCCAGTGTCTGAAGATGAGAGACGAAGATGATTGTTAATTGATTTTTGATTCTCTCCACAGGCTTCCGGACGCCGGAGTGATCTTCCAGATCAACACCACTGTATCAGATGTTGAGGAAGTCCAAAAATCCATTTTCAACGAGTCGGCAGACGGCAGGCTAGGGCTGTTTACTGTAGATGGGAACGCTACAACATTTGGACCGATATGTGAGTTCAATTCGGAATGCATATCATAGTCATTGGTTCAATAAGCCATAAGCAGTGTTTCAGCTTTATACACTAACATAACACAGCGGGACAAGATCTATTATCAAAACTAAAACTATCTTACTTGTTACAGCTCTTCTTGTGGCACTACCGGAATGTTCTGACGGCAACAACAACTGCAGTACCAACACAGACTGTGTGGAGGAGTACCTGTACTTCAGTTGTGTGTGTTCTCTCAACGGAACCGACTGTGATGGTAAGATGTCTCTGATGCATGTTGTGAAGACACGGTCTCATGATCAGTTCACCTTTCTGTGCAAATCAAAACATTACAGCACGCATTGTTAGTTGACCAATTTTGATTCTTAGGTATTGACCCTTGCCATATACTATTTCAGCTGTGGAGTCTGCCTATATTTCTTTCAAGATCCTGGACCTGGATCCTACAAAAGACTACGAGAACAAAACATCAGCCGACTATCTGGAACTGACACAGTTGCTAGAAGAACTGGTCATGAACATCACAAGTGACATCGTCTCTGTGGACCTGTTTGATGTGAGGTAAGAAGACATAAACACTTGGCACGACATTGCTTTGAACCAAATAATCCATTCAGTAACTCTAAAAGTAATATTTTCAACTGTTCTGTTTTCCTTCCAGGCTTCCAGACGCAGGAGTGATCTTCCAAATCACCTTCAACGAGTCTGATAGAGAAAACGTGAAGAGAGACATTTTCAGTGAGTCTGCAGACGACGAGCTAGGACCATTTACGGTAGAAGGAAACGCTACAACCTTTGGGCCAATATGTGAGTTCTTCGATGATATATACCATCACAGGGATAATTAGTGTTGGAAAAAAATACCTGACAAAAATATTTGCTATGTCAACGGAACATCAGACACCAGTTATTGATGCCATGTCTGAATCTAATTTTTCCTGCAGCCCTACTTGTAGCCTTACCGGAGTGTTCTGACGGCACCAACAACTGCAGTGCCAACACAGACTGTGTGGAGGAGTACCTGTACTTCAGCTGCGTGTGTTCAGACGGGGTTTTTTTCAACGGCACAGATTGTGAAGGTATTCTCAAGTCTACAGTAATATCTATGACAAAGTAAACTTCAAAGTGTTGTGATCAATCCTTGAACAGTGACTATGCATTTTCCCGTTGAATGTTTGTTTCTTACACAGTAATCTTGACTGCATTGTGTCTAATTTCAGCTGTGAAATCCAACTACATTTCCTTCAAGATCCTGGACCTGGATCCTACAAAAGACTACGAGAACAAAACATCAGCCGACTATCTGGAACTGACAGAGCTGCTGGAGGAACTGGTCAGAAACATCACAGGAGATATCACTTCAGTGGAACTGTACGACGTCAGGTCAGCGGAAAACTCCACTTTGATTACAGATTTTAAGCTAATAATCCCTGTAGCACCCTAAGTTAATATAATGCTGACTGTTCTTTGTTTCGTCTCAGGCTTCCGGATGCAGGAGTTATCTTCCAAATCAACGCTACAGTAACTGATGTTGAAGATGTACGAAGATCAGTTTTCAACGAGGCAGCAGACGACCGGCTGGGCCCTTTTACGCTTGAGGGGAATGCTACAACATTTGGGCAGATATGTGAGTTTCATTGACAATGTACTTCATCAAAGAAAATTAAGTTTTTACAAATCACATTCACAAAATATTCTTAACACTAATCTTTTCTACTAAATCAATGAAGGTTTGTGCTTAGTAAGTTGTAACATGACTAAATCTCTTCCTGTAGCTCTTCTTGTGGCCCTACCGGAGTGTACTGACGGCACCAACAACTGCAGTGCCAACACTGACTGTGTGGAGGAGTACCTGTACTTCAGCTGTGTGTGTTCTCTTAACGGGAGCGACTGTGATGGTAAGATGTCTCTGATGTATCTCTGATGACGACGCAGCCTCAAGTCAGCTATCCTCTGTCTGCAAATCAAAACATCACTTTATTGAAAATAACATGCATTGCTAGTTAATCAGTTTTGTTTCTTTGGCATTGACTCTTGCAACTCTTGCAATTTGCCATTCCAGCTGTGGAATCTGGCTACATTTCCTTCAAGATCCTGGACCTGGATCCTACAAAAGACTACGAGAACAAATCATCAGCCGACTATCTGGAACTGACACAGTTGCTTGAAGAACTGGTCATGAACATCACAAGTGACATCGTCTCTGTGGACCTGTTTGATGTGAGGTAAGAAGACATAAACACTTGGCACGACATTGCTTTGAACCAAATAATCCCTTCAGCAACTGTAAAAGGAATATTTTCAACTGTTTTGTTTTCCCTCCAGGCTTCCAGACGCAGGAGTGATCTTCCAAATCACCTTCAACGAGTCGAATAGAGAAAACGTGAAGAGAGACATTTTCAGTGAGGCTGCAGACAACCAGCTAGGGCCATTTACGGTAGAAGGAAACGCTACAACCTTTGGGCCGATATGTGAGTTCTTCGATGATATATACCATCACAGGACATTTATTGTTGGAAAAAAAGAAATACCAGACAAAAATATTTGCTATGTCAACGGAAGATCAGACATCAGTTATTGATGCCATGTCTCAATCAAATTTTTCCTGCAGCCCTACTTGTAGCCTTACCGGAGTGTTCTGACGGCACCAACAACTGCAGTACCAACACAGACTGTGTGGAGGAGTACCTGTACTTCAGCTGTGTGTGTTCAGACGGTTTTGTTTTCAATGGCACAGACTGTGAAGGTATGTCTTAATTCTACAGTAAGATTTTGACAGAGTTTGAATTATCATTCTCGACCCTTGAACATTTACTATGCAACGCATTTTCCCGTTGCATATTTGTTCCTTACACAGTAATTCTGACAGCATTGTCTAATTTCAGCTGTGAAGTCCAACTACATCTCCTTCAAGATCCTGGACCTGGATCCTACAAAAGACTACGAGAACAAAACATCAGCGGACTATCTGGAACTGACAGAGCTGCTGGAGGAACTGGTTAGAAACATCACAGGAGATATCACTTCAGTGGAACTGTACGATGTCAGGTCAGCGGAAAAGTCCACTTTGATTACATATTTTAAGCTAATGATCCCTGTAGCACCCTAAGTTAATATAATGCTGACTACTGTTCTTTGTTTCGTCTCAGGCTTCCGGATGCAGGAGTGATCTTCCAAATCAACGCTACAGTAACTGATGTTGAAGATGTACGAAGATCAGTTTTCAACGAGGCAGAAGACGACCGGCTGGGCCCATTTACGCTTGAGGGAAATGCTACAACATTTGGGTCGATATGTGAGTTTCATTGACAATATTTAACATCGAAGGAAATTGAACTTTTGTTACAAATCAAATTGACAAAATATTCTTAACACTAATGTTAAGTTTGTACTTAGTAAGGTGTAACATGAATAAATCTCTTCCTGTAGCGCTTCTTGTGGCAATACCGGAGTGTACTGACGGCAGCAACAACTGCAGTACCAACACAGACTGTGTGGAGGAGTATCTGTACTTCAGCTGTGTGTGTTCTCTTAACGGGAGTGATTGTGATGGTAAGATGTCTCTGATGCATGTTGTGAAAACACGATCTCATGATCAGCTCGCCTTCCTCTGCAAATCAGAACATTACAGTTTCTTAGGTATTGACCCTTGCCCTATACCATTTCAGCTGTGGAGTCTGCCTATATTTCCTTCAAGATCCTGGACCTGGATCCTACAAAAGACCACGAGAACAAAACATCAGCCGACTATCTGGAACTCACACAGTTGCTAGAGGAACTGGTCACGAACATCACAAGTGACATCGTCTCTGTGGACCTGTTTGATGTCAGGTTAGTAGAAGACATAAACTTGGCATAACATTGCTTTAAACCAAATCTTCCCTTCGGTAACTGTAAAAGTAATATTTTCAACTGTTCTGTTTTCCCTCCAGGCTTCCAGACGCGGGAGTGATCTTCCAAATCACCTTCAACGAGTCGGATAGAGAAAACGTAAAGAGAGACATTTTCAGTGAGGCTGCAGACGACGAGCTAGGGCCATTTACGGTGGAAGGGAACGCTACAACATTTGGACCAATATGTGAGTTCCATTCGGAATTGAAGCTAAATCTTCAAAAGTCATAGCAACATAGGCTTGGTAGGACAAGCATGAAGTGTAAGGCCTGTACTAAACTATCTCTCGTTACTGAATATTTCTTCAGCTCTTCTCGTGGCCCTACCGGAATGTACCGATGGCACCAACAACTGCAGTGCCAACACAGACTGTGTGGAGGAGTACCTGTACTTCAGCTGTGTGTGTGCAGACGGGTTTGTTTTCAACGGCTCAGACTGTGAAGGTACGTGGCTGAGCTTTCAACCTTGTAACGGAAACGTTCTTTCGATAACTTTTTAAAGTTTAATATTTTAAATGATCGAGCTCTATATGATTGAGAAAAGACACAAGTAAACGTATTCTATTTCCATATGAAATTCTCGACCATCGCGCTTATGCATGTATTACATTTCAGCTGTGGAGTCCAACTACATCTCCTTCAAGATCCTGGACCTGGATCCGACAAAAGACTACGAGAACAAAACATCAGCGGACTACTTAGAGCTAAAAGTCTTACTGGAGGACCTGGTCGGAAACATCACAGGCGACATCCTGTCAGTTCAACTGGTTGACGTCAGGTCAGAAAGTGCCCTTGTGGTGGAAACCCACCTTTGTCACATAGCCAGTGTCTGAAGATGAGAGACGAAAATAACTGTTGATTGATTCTTGATTCTCTCCACAGGCTTCCGGACGCCGGAGTGATCTTCCAGATCAATACCACTGTATCAGATGTTGAAGAAGTCCGAAAATCCATTTTCAACGAGTCGGCAGACGACGGGCTAGGGCCGTTTACTGTAGACGGTGACGCTACAACATTTGGACCGATTTGTGAGTTCGATTTGGAATGTATATAAAAACATTCATTATGAGGTATATAAACAACATATAACGAGCTCTTCGGTACAAACTAACACAATACCCGGTACAAGATTGATTATCAAACCAAAAGACCTACCTCACTAAACGTGATACATTGTTACAGCCCTACTTGTAGCTCTACCGGAATGTTCTGACGGAAGCAACAACTGCAGTGCCAACACAGACTGTGTGGAGGAGTACCTGTACTTCAGTTGTGTATGTTCTCTCAACGGGAGCGACTGTGATGGTAAGATGTCTCTGATGTATGTTGTGAAGACGCAGCCTCAAGTCAGCTATCCTCTGTCTGCAAATCAAAACATTACTTTCGTGAAAAAATGCATGCATTGTCCGTTAACCAGTTTCTTAGGCATTGAGTCTTGCCCTATACCATTTCAGCTGTGGCGTCTAGCTACATTTCCTTCAAGATCCTGGATCTGGATCCTACAAAAGACTACGAGAACAAAACATCTGCCGACTATCTGGAACTGACACAGTTGCTAGAAGAACTGGTCATGAACATCACAAGTGACATCGTCTCTGTGGACCTGTTTGATGTCAGGTTAGAAGAAGACATGGACAAATTGCTTTTAACCAAATACTCTCTTCGGTAACTGTAAAAGGAATATTTTCAACTGTTCTTTGTTTTCCCTCCAGGCTACCAGACGCGGGAGTGATCTTCCAAATCACCTTCAACGAGTCGGATAGAGAAAACGCAAAGAGAGACATTTTCAGTGAGGCTGCAGACAACCAGCTAGGGCCATTTACGGTAGAAGGAAACGCTACAACCTTTGGACCAATATGTGAGTTCCAATCAGATTTGAAGCTAAAGCTTCCAAGTTGTCGCAAAATAGACCTGGTTGCTTCGTGGCACTGCCATGAAGTGTACGGTCTGTCATAACTAACCTATCTCTCGTTACTATATCTTCCTTCAGCTCTACTTGTGGCCCTACCGGAATGTACTGACGGCAGCAACAACTGCAGTACCAACACAGACTGCGTGGAGGAGTACCTGTACTTCAGCTGTGTGTGTTCAGATGGTTTTGTTTTCAACGGCACAGACTGTGAAGGTACGTTCAAGGTTTACAAAGACATCATCCCAAGTTAACCTTCCTTATCAAGCCCATTTACATTCTTACTTTCGTATCAATGTTTTCGAAAATGATTGTTTATATGGAATTTCAGCCGTGGAGCCCAACTACATCTCCTTCAAGATCCTGGACCTAGATCCCGCCAAGGACTATGAGAACAAAACATCAGCCGACTATCTGGAACTAACAGAACTGCTGAAAGAATTGGTCAGAAACATCACAGGAGACATTCTTTCGGTTCAGTTGATTGACGTCAGGTCAGTGGCGTAATCAACTTGTTACACAGCTGTGTGGGGTTGAACGAAATTCTGTCTGAATGTCTGTCTGTCTATTTCAAATTGTATATAATTTCATTGATTTGCCTCACTGTAACCTTTTCTCATGATTTCTACGTAGACTTCCAGACTCGGGGGTGATCTTCCAGATCAACACAAAAGTCTCAGATGTAGAGGCCGTTAAAGTGTCCATTTTTGACGAGGCTTCTGACGACGAACTGGGGTCGTTTTCGCTAGACGGAAATGCAACAACCTTTGGACCCATTTGTACGTTTATTTCAAAACTTATAAATATTTAGGTGAACTGAATAAGGAATTACCTTTTATTGTAAATTGTGAAAACTTAATTCCAGTCCGACAGCCATATCTACTGAAACTATGTTTACTTCATTGATGTTCACAGCCCTACTTGTGGCCCTACCGGAGTGTTCTGACGGCACCAACAACTGCAGTACCAACACAGACTGTGTGGAGGACTACCTGTACTTCAGCTGTGTGTGTTCAGATGGTTTCGCCTTCAACGGCACAGACTGTGAAGGTACGTATACAATCTCTTAAGGTACAAACATTATTGCCTTCAGTTATTTTTTACTTGCCTGTAGTCGCTTTTAGGAATGAACCATTGTCGTCTTTGGTTTTATTATTCCTAATCTTTTTCATATCACAGCTGTGCAGTCCAGCCATATTTCATTCAAGATCCTGAACCTAGATCCCACCAAAGACTACGAGAACGAAACATCAGCGGACTATCGTGAACTCACGGAGTTACTGGAGGAGCTGGTCAGACACATCACAGGCGACATCCTTTCAGTTCAACTGGTTGACGTCAGGTTAGAATAGATAATGTTCATTTGGCACTTTTTGTGAATGATCTTAAAAAAATAATAGAACTACAACAGTTTTAGCAATCCTATCGTAACTATGCGGTTTTGTTTTGATTTGTAGACTTCCAGATTCAGGAGTGATCTTCCAGATCAACACCACAGTATCGGATGTGGAGGACGTTAAAGCGTCTATTTTTGACGAGTCTGCAAACAACGAACTTGGACCATTTACACTGGATGGGAACGCTACAACATTTGGGCCCATTTGTAAGTTTCGTTTCAAATACAGATAATCCATTTGAAATTGATCTAGGAAAGCAAAGAGAGTTATGTATCATTTCTAATTCCATTGGAATTTTGCAATTTGGCACTGTCAATCTGCACAACCTTACATTAATTTATCCATGGATTCAGCCCTTCTTGTGGCCCTACCGGAGTGTTCTGACGGCGCCAACAACTGCAGTACCAACACAGACTGTGTGGAGGAGTATCTGTACTTCAGCTGTGTGTGCAAAGATGGCTTTGCTTTCAACGGAACTCACTGCGAAGGTAGATGAAGACATGCAACAAATATGTCGCACTACATATACTAACAAGGATGATAAATTTTATACTATTCATATGTCAAATCTTGGATATTTAGCATACTTGATTTTTATATTCCAGCTGTGGACTCCAATTACATCTCATTCAAGATCCTGGATCTTGATCCTACCAAGGACTATGAAAACAAGTCATCAGCCGACTATCTACAGCTAACAGACCTACTTGAGGGTCTGGTCGGCAACATTACAGGAGACATTTTGTCAGTCGAGCTTATAGATGTGAGGTAAGTTTATATTATTTACTTTCTGTTGCCATCATAGAACAGAGAGGACAATCAACTTGTCACGATGACATGCAGCGTGTAGTCTTAGTCATTAAGTCAATAATCCTACAATAAATATGACATTCTTATAGTAAAGTTATTAGTTGTACAATAAAGGAAATGTATTTTAGGTTACCAGATACCGGGGTGATCTTTCAAATCAACACAACAACATCAGACACCGAAAAGGTCAGAGAAGCGATCTTTCAGGAGGTCTCAGATGACAAACTCGGGAATTTTACTTTGGACGGGAATGCCACCACTTTTGGGCCCATATGTAAGTAAAAGTAACACATTCTCTAATCCAATACATTATATCAGTAATCTCATTAAATAATGGTTATACCGTTGATATGCACCGATGATATTGATAGTTTTATACCAATTGACAAATGCCAGTTGACAAATCCTTGGAAGGAGGGGCCAATTGTCTAATTGTCCGATTTTTATTTTATACCTATGAAACATGTAAAAATGATAAACTTGTAACGTTTTTGTTTGCCTCCAGCTCTCCTCGTGGCTCTACCTGAGTGTTCTGACGGCACCAACAACTGCAGTACCAACATGGACTGTGTGGAGGAGTACCTGTACTTTAGCTGTGTGTGTGCAGATGGTTTCGCCTTCAACGGAACCGAGTGTGAAGGTACATAATGAATAAAACTATTGTACATTCATTCATCCATTTATATACATTTTACAGAACAAGTAACGCAGCTAGCTATAGTGAAATGAAGGTATTCTGATTTTCTTGTTTCGATAACAAGACGTGGAGCAAATTTTGTGTTTTTATTCACAACTACAGCGATAGAGTCAAGCTACATATCCTTTAAGATCTTGAACCTGGATCCCACAAAGGACTACGAGAACAAAACATCTATGGATTACTTGGAGCTAACTGACGTGCTGGAGGAACTTGTGAGAAACATCACAGGGGAAATACTATCAGTGGAGCTCATTGATGTCAGGTATGTGAAATCAACATCGTTTTGGCGTTTATTAGCCGGAGAGGCGCTTTACACGACTTTCCTAACTCAATCCGGGTGTGAGATGGGTACCACACTTCGGTTGGGGAGGTAAAAGGAGAGACACAGTGGAACCCATAGCCCCTACGGCCCCAAAATGGTATTGGACTACCTTTACCCTTATAGATTTATAACATGTGAAAGACGATAAGGTCTAAGAAACTTCCGTTCCATATCATTCTCTAGGTTGCCGGATGCAGGGGTAATATTTCAACTCAACGCCACCAGATCTGACACTGATAGTTTGGAAAGCGCCATTTTTGACGAAGCTGCAGACGACAGACTGGGAGACTTTGTTCTTGACGGGAACGCCACGACGTTCGGCCCAATTTGTAAGTATTCTATTTTAAACTAGCGCACTTACCTTATAGATTCAAGTAATATATCACATCGTTGTCCCATTTTTTAATTTAAAATCCCGTTCTTAACAGCTCTACTTGTGGCTTTACCGGAATGTACTGACGGCAGCAACAACTGCAGTACCAACACAGACTGTGTGGAGGAGTACCTGTACTTCAGTTGTGTGTGTGCAGACGGCTTTGTTTTCAACGGCACAGACTGTGAAGGTAGGTACAAAACTAAAATCATCTGGTGTTATGAAACTTAATAAAACATTTACGTTCTACATTACTGATTGTTTAATATAAATTATTGTAGCATCCGATGATAAAATTTTCATACCTGTATCTTCAGCTGTGGAGTCAAACTACGTCTCCTTCAAAGTGTTGGATCTGGACACCACCAAAGACTATGAAAGCAAGACTTCTGCCGATTACATGGAGCTGCAAGCTGTACTGGAGGAGTTGGTGACGAACATAACGGGAGATGTATTCTCTGTGGAGCTGTTTGATGTCAGGTAACAATTTTCAGCATTGATAATGTCCATATATGCATTTTCAGTATCTGATATTTTCCAGGAGGTATGGTCATTAATAGTAAACCATTAGCAAAATTGTAATCGTAGTAGAGACTTCTTTTGCGTAAAATCAAGTGAATTTGATCAAAGGGCAACAACAGAAACAAGCACAGATGCTTTTGAACCGTTAATCGTCAGGCGGTTACGCTGTGTGGTATGTTGGTAATCAGGACCAACTTTATCCAACATGGCGGACATCTTTACTAACTTTTTTGCCGGTCTGTGCGTTGGAAAAATCATTGCCAGTTTACTGTTTAGCGTTATATCTGGTGGTCTACAGTTTTCTTACAGTATCAGGCTCAGCATTAATCTGTTGACATTCGACATTTGCATCTCTGCTCCTGTCCAGACTCCCGGATGCAGGAGTGATTTTCCAAGTGAGCTCGACTGTCTCGGATGTCAGTGACGTCAAACAAGCCATCTTCGACGAGGCTTCGGACAACCAACTCGGACAGTTTACGTTGGAGGGGAACGCCACAACATTTGGGCCGATATGTGAGCCTTATCGATACATATTTCGTAACGCAATACCGGTACCTGTATCGTATCTGACATGTAACTCAGTTCATGATGTAAACATGGCAGATCGATAAGGCTTACCTCAAGGCCTCAGCTCCGGTCGTACTCGTAGTTTTCTAGTAGAATATCTCTTCTTGACACGATTTTGTAGACACTTAATTCTCTGAACTTGAACCCTGAATAAGCTAAGCTAAACTAGTGTACAAGCTATAACTCTAAACTTGTCAAAACCTACTCTACTCTACTCTACTCTTGTCAAACTCAACTCGAGCTGAATGACCTGGAACATCCGGGGTCTTGACCCTTGACCCAAAACCTGATTACACTATCAAATGTCACAAACAATGCTAAAAGTATAATTGACATAGTTACAAAGAGTTCAAATTAGTTGCTAGTAATCATTCGAGAGATTTAAATTGTTTATTATTATTTGTAAGTATGGGAGTATTGTTTTGGGTGGCTGGCTTGTGAGAATGTGTGTTTCATGTTTTGAACTCAAACATTAGGCAACAGTTTAACCCTATCTAGTTTGGGTGCTAAAATGAAGGGGCCTTTTAAGTGTTGAAAAAACTATCATATAAAACATTTATTTTTTGTTTATATCAAACTCCAGCTCTCTTGGTGGCGCTACCAGAATGTGATGATGCAAGTACAAACAACTGCAGCTCTGGTGCAGACTGCCAGGAGGAGTACCTGTACTTCAGCTGTGCTTGTAAAGAGGGCTACACTGGGAATGGGACTACCTGTGAAGGTATTTTTTGGTTGTTATGATTTAGAAACTTTACATAGTTTTGCATGTATATGGATTGTGGCAGCTATCATGCCTTATTACCATTGAGAAGTATATCATTTGGGCCTCTAGCTGCATTTTTGGAACTGCAGGGGTCATTTTTGTTTAGAACTGTACTTTTTGTGTGTTAATGTGATGTGTTTATGTGTTGACAGATAATGATGAATGCAGTAATGGTGTAGCAGACTGTGACGCTAACGCAGTCTGTACCAACATCCCTGGCTCATTCACCTGCCGATGTAACACTGGTTACCTTGGCAACGGCACCTTCTGTAAAGGTAGGTTTTGGCCAATTTCTTTTTTGTTCTTCCTGTTGCATTGTTTCAATAGGCTTAGCTTTAGACATCTAGTATCTTGTCCTGTATCAGACACAGTCACACTATTCTTTACTCATCTCTGTCAGTAAATTGGAATTGCTGTAACGTTAAATCTTAAATATTAGCAATGTTTTTATTTTCATTAAATTTACAGTACATTTTCATTCTTAACTTTTAAATAGATTGTCATTTAAAACTAATATGCTTGAGAAATACAATGAAAACCATCTCCTTTGATTGTATATGAAATCTAAATTTCCTTCCTACTTTCTATGTTGGCAATGTCCTTGGTGCTGAAAGGTTATTTTTTACATTTAAATGTTTCTATTAGTGGATTCAATAACAACTAATCATTTATATTGAAAACACACTTTGACTAAAGTTTACACTTAAGTCATACTTCCCACTACTCAATCACATAATGATATTTTTGAGCAAATGATTCAAGTATCTTTCTCATTTTACCCCCAAACAGAGGTGACCAACCAGTACATAGCATTTCGGATGACTGATTTGGACCCGACCATAGACTACAATGACACAACCTCACCTGAATACAGAGCTCTCAAAGAGCTCCTGGAAGAGCTGGTCAGCAACATATCAGCTAATATTATAGGTGTGGAGCTTATTGATATCAGGTAAGTATTCAAAAATTATTTATATATCTGCATGTGCATGTGTGTGTGTGTGTGTGTGCATGCTGTTGTGTGTATGTGTGTGTGCATGCATGTTTTGTGTGTGTTATGAAATTTGGACTTTCATGTCATGTTTGTCATCATAATTGAGAATTCGTTGTGCGTTTTTTCAGGCTGCCAGATGCTGGTGTGATTTTTGACATTAACATCACAGACAGCTACGTGAACCAGGTGATGACAGCTGTGTTTGCAGAGGGAGATGATGGAACTCTGGGCATGTTTGCAGTAGCAGACAACGATACAACATTTGGGGACATATGTAAGTGTCTTGGAGGCCATTACCTTGTGTGTGCATGCGTGTGTGTGCGTGAGTGTGTGTGTGTGTGTGTGCATGCGTGTGTGTGCGTGCGTGCGCGTGCGTGCGTGTCTGTGCGTACGTGTGTGTGTGTGTTTATTTCAGTCATCATTTGCATGTTAGCAAAAGAAAGAAGAAAAAAAATAGCCCCTTTTTCATGACCTATATTTTTCAGCCTTGAAGGTTGCTCTACCAGAGTGCAGTGATGGAACAAACAACTGCAGCCATCTGGCCAACTGTACAGAAAAGTACCTCTTCTTTGACTGTGACTGTTTCGAAGGCTATACAGGGAATGGAACATACTGTGAAGGTGAGAATCAGAAACTAAATTATTCTAGATAATTATACTCAAGGTGTTCAAAGTACATATAGCAGCTACTAATAGTAAAACTGTACCATAGAATTGTTCAAACTGTAAACTTGAAAAGTCAAACTACCATCAAAACCTCCTTTTCCCTTCTAATGGGGAAGAAAAAATGAATAAATGGAAAAGTAATTAAACAAGACATATATATATATAATCTAAATGCACCAATAAAGTCATTATTATACACAACAGAAAGTATAGATGACACTAACTTGTGTTTCAGATGTGGATGAGTGTAACCTTGACCTAGATAACTGTGATGACAATGCCAACTGCTACAACACCCCAGGCTCCTTCCAATGTCAATGTCAAGATGGTTACCTTGGGAATGGGATTGTCTGCAAACGTAAGAATCAAAGACTTACTCCCTTACTCAAAGTCTTTTTCCCTGTTCAAGTTGGGAGCAGACTAAGATCAATTGTATGACGATAGAAAAAGCAGACTGAGTCAGAGGGGATAGTCAGTCATTTGTTACACACACTATTGGGGTGACAAACGCTGAATGGTCAGATTAAAAATCTATTCAGCCATCTAGATTAGTTCTATCTTGATCTGTTGAATTTCAAAAAAACAAAAAATCAGTGTGACTTAATTGAATACAATGTATGTAATACCATGTTCAGCAGTTACTAGCAGTTACTAATTCCACTTTGCTCTGTATTTTTAGGCATTGTAACAACATATGCATCATTCAAGATGCCAAATCTACAGCCAGTACAAGATTACAAAGATGTAAATTCCTCAGCATACAAGGAATTGGAAGACTATTTGGAGTCACTTGTAAGTGTTTGGATTGTTCTTTTACTTCAATATTGACAAAAATCAACTTTTTATTCCATACAGATAATAAGTGATTACTTCAGATGCTTTAATTTTTCAATTTCAGATGGTTACATCATGCTATTGTCTTTTTCTCATTTCAGGTGAGAAACATGTCAGATGAAGTAACCGCAGTTAGACTGCTTGATGTCAGGTACAATATATTTTAATGCGATACGGTCAAATACCTATTGTGTGGGACTGTGTGGCATAATGGTTGGGTGTTTGGCCCAGAACCCATAGGTCATGGGTTCAAATCCACCTATAGAATAAAATAGATGAATGAATGTTGATATTTATGTTATGTTACGTATGAATAACTGCATACACGTAGTAGCTAAGTAGTATATAGTAGTTACAGAATGAACCATTGCAGAAAGAATTGCTGTGTTCAGACTTGTTCAAGAGAAATTCTGCCCACCTACCTGTGCAGGTTCCCTGAGGGAGGAGTTGTTTTGGAGTTTGATGTGACAGAAGATGAGTTGCCTGACGTGTACGATGCTATCGTAGCAGAGGGGCTGGATGGAACAGTTGGTCCTTACACAGTGGAGGGGAATGCCACCACAGTCGGAAACATCTGTATGTATTCTTACTCTTTTTGTATAACACAATCCAGAACCAATCATCACTAATACTGACACTGTTAATCACCTAAAGCGACCATTGCCAGACTTACTGGCATCGGTAAATCACACTTTGCATGCATTGTAGAATTTGGACTAACAGGGTTTGATAATAATCTTTGTCCCCATAGCTCTCCTGGTAGCTCTACCAGAGTGTAACGACACCAGTACTAATGACTGTGATCCTGAGGCCACCTGTGTGGAGGAGTACCTGTACTACACCTGTGTGTGTAACCATGGTTACACAGGTGATGGACAACAATGCACAGGTGACTATCTCAGTGGTAGAAATGATGATTAGATGACTAAACACACCAATATTAGTCTGATACATAAGTTGTTACCCATGTATTCTGCCTGTGGCAAAATGAATTTGTGGTGTTTGTGGATTTGTTGTATTCATAGATTTATGTATGATTCAGATTTCTGTGAATCCATGACATGAAACACCATCAAAACGGTGAACCAGGTTGAAGAAGAACAAGTTCAAGAGAATACTTAGTAACAGAAATTTAACGCTAATTCATAATCTTCCTTTGCAGATGTGAATGAGTGCAGCCTGAACCAGGACAACTGCCATGGTGATGCTGTCTGTACCAACCTCCCAGGATCCTTCAGCTGTGCCTGTGCAGACGGGTTCTATGGAAATGGAACACACTGCCAAGGTTAGTTCTTTGTCTCAGAGGTTGAAATCAATGAAAAGTCCTGAAAAATTCTAATACTGTGGTTTTTAACCTTTTTTCTCTAGATTTTCCATTGATGATTGTTTATTTTCTTTTCTCAGCTGTAATTGAGACAACAACAGCAATTCAACCAACAGTAACTGGTACAGTAGGTAAGACAATTTATTGCCAGTATCAGCAAGGGATTTATAAAATGATTAAAGGATACAACATTGCTCGTGATACATTATCATAACTTTTTTCTAATTAGTAGGACTATTACATTGAATTTCATAGACTTCAAAAGCAAGGATTTGAAGTGAGTGGGAAGAGATTGGGCATCAGTTGATTGACAGGGTTGTGAAACAAAGCACTTTCCAGCTGTCTGAAATCTCATAATTCTTGTTTAATTCTAATCTGTCTGACCAGATGGAGGTTGGAGTGAGTGGACTGACTGGTCCAACTGTTCCGCTAGCTGTGGATTAGGCACCCAGGAGAGAACACGGCAGTGTGACAGCCCCCCTCCCCAAAATGGCGGCCGGAACTGTCAGGGACCAGACAGACAGGAGAGGCCATGTTTTAGTGGACAATGTCCCCCTGGATGTAAGGCAACATGATTTCTTCTTTGATCATGTCAACTCATAGGTTGTACCTGTTGTAGGAGCAGAGCCTGGTTCTTAATACCCCTTTTTGTATGTCCCTACAGTTATAGACTGGTGCAGTAGTGCTGAGGACAGGTGTGGCCAGTTGAACCATGGAGGAGTTTGTACACTAATAGGGTCGGGGTACCAGTGTTCATGTCAGGATGGCTGGGAGGAGGTCAGGTCAACGGATCGTACCATGTTCCTAAGATGCGAAGGTGAGAAACACACTTCTTAAAAGTAAAGTGATTATATGAAGACCATGAGAGCTTAGTAACTTGAAGGTAGTCTGGATTAAGCTGAAACTCAAATCAAGAAGGAAAGTTATGGATTTACTTTTGTAAGTACGGCTGAATGTGCTTAACTTTTTGTGTGCCCTGTCCTTAGTGCTGAAATGTGAATCGTTTGTCAATGAAGGTTAGGCATCCAGTTCAGGACTCAAAGCACCATGCGCAGGTTAGTGCAGGTAAAATTAGACTGTTTTGAAATTTTCCACTGTCTGTTTCACAGATATTGATGAGTGTACTACAGGACAGCATGACTGTAACACCACCTTCTCCCAGTGTGTCAATAACCTGGGGAACTACAGCTGTGACTGCCTGCCTGGGTACACACTAGTGGATGGAAAATGTGAAGGTTTGTGTCAAGTAGATACTTTCTAGAAAAGCAAATTCACCAAAAGCACCACAACTTATATTTCTATATATCAAAACAGTAGACATTATCTCAGCCTTTCTCTTATAAATGTAAGTAGTATCTTATTGATCTAACTTTTAAGTTAAAAGTATTGACTCCATTAACAACCTTTCCAGCTGGAGGGACCACCCTCACATTCAAAATATAAATAAATAAACAACCTAGCTATTGCTGCTACAGCCTCAAAAAGGCTCTACCTATACTTATAGCCATTAACTCTATACTTCTTCTATATCAGATATAAATGAATGCACGACCAGTGGACCCCGTCGGTGTGACCATAATGCTGACTGTATCAACCTGCATGGGAGTTACACATGTATGTGTAAAGATGACTACATCAGTAGGGTACAGGAGGGCACTGGCTTCCCTGGACAGTGTAAAGGTAAGTATTGCATCTATATTATGGTTGGGGAATTGCATCTATATTATGCACTAAGGTGGCAAGGTTATCTTGTGGTTAGGATTGTCAACTCAGAATCTGAAGGTTCTGGGTTCGAATCCCTGGCATGCTCCATTGTTGTGCCCTTGAAAAAAGCAAATTACACCTATTTCCTCACTCAACATAGGTGAAAATGTGTACCTAGCTTCAGTTTGGCACATCTTCTCAGATTGAATGTAAAGCTGGTGGAGAACCATGCCTTGAGTATGTTAAAGATGCTACTGCACTTTCCAAAAAGAGTAGGGGTCCTTCCCGGTGTGAGTGGTACCCACTTTACAAACATGGTTTTGTGTTATGCCTAAAGGCAGTTTACTAGTTATGCAAAACTAACAAACAATTTTTTTTTACTTTCTTTGTAGAAAAACGACTGTTCCCATATGGAGAAGCAGAGGGAGATTTGTTACTGTACAATGACTCAGCAGCTACAGGAGAAATGGTTTCACCCATCATAGGGGTGCCACATGGCATTCCACTCAGGGGAGGGAAACTTTGCAACTCTGTCTATGTAAGTCTCTGTCTATGTAAGAACTTCAAGTGTTCTTTAGAGATAATCTATTTCAGTTGCACCTTCAGCTAACACTTCAGCAGATTATACTGTGCCTGTGCAAAACCTGTAATGTATTGTGCATAGCACTTCAGCAGAACGTCTTTAGCAGAACTGTTTAGGGTTTAATTGACATGTAATTAAGGATGACATTCCTGTCTATAATTTTTAAATATTGTGTCAGAAAAGATAATCGTCTGCAATGAGCAGAATTTGGATGTAATGTTAACCATCCAACAAAAGCCATGAAAAAATCCACACAGCAGGTTTTGTGCAGCCACAGTACATTCTGGCAACATGCTACTTCAACTTAAATTTCAGCTTAGCACAGGCTGTATAATTGTATATCCAATGAAGTTAAATGACTGACTTTTTTATTTGTCGCTTACCATGTACATGTATTATGACTTTGAGTTGTTGTGTAAAATCTCCAAACTTTCATCTTTACAATCTTTAAACCTTTACCCCAGGTGACCGAGAACGGAGTCCTGGCCTTGAATGACAGAATAAGAGAACACGAGACAGGAGACAAGGAGACCTACAGGAACCCAGAGCCGCTCAACGACATCTTCGAGTCCAACAGAACTGAGACCTGCGCAGTTCTGGCAGCGTTCTGGGCTAACAACAGGTTCACTGGCCTGGAGCCTGGGAGAAATCCTAGGGTAGGGAGACTGTTGTATCTAGAACAAAGCTTTGTCCAGAAAACAATTCTTGAACAGGCACAGCCCTGGTTAGTCCACATGTATCCAGAACAATGCCTGAGGCACATCTACATTCTTGGATAATAGGAGACTACCCAGAAGCATGCCTGATGCTAACCCTAATCCATTCAGGCAGAACTAGATAGGCATGGTTTTGAAAAAGATAGAGATGTTCTACATTTAGTAGGTAGCAAATGGTTCTGGATTGGAAAGCCCTTAGTGGTATGCCCTTGGGTAAGCTATTTTACACTTCCCACAAGATTGACATACCGGTAGAATAATAACTTGTCAATTTTACATCTTTTCATGGCCATTTATGAATGATGTGAATCTTTTTCCAGGTGTGGTACCATGCATACTCCCATGGGAATGAGCGAATGTATGACTTAGTGGACCGTGCCATACTCAGTAACTTCACCACCCTGCCCAACTATCGCTCAGAGTTCATTCTAGTGGCCACCTGGCAGGACATGGCACCTCCATGGAGAGCAGATGCCTCACAGGTAAACAAAAATCAAATTTATACTCATTTGCATACTCGGGACAATTAAAATGGACTCAAGGTCCCAAATATGCAAATGAGGTTGGTGCTGTCCTTAGTGCTGAAATGCGTATCTTTTCACAGATTTCAGCTTTGTCATTATATAAGAATTTTTAAACCTTTCAGTGCCATGCCAGCTGTTCCTATCTTTCTGATGACTTTTGATTTTCTTCCAATCAGCCACCTACATTGTTCTTATGACAAGTTTTGATCATCAATTTCCAGTATTCAAAGAAGGTACAGACATTTACTCTGGAGCTTCACATTGTTTCTTCCACACAGTTCAACACATTCCAGGCAGTTCTGGCCACAGACCACCAGCACACCTTTGTCCTGTACCGTTATGAAGATGCTGAGATGACCTGGCTACCTGTATATGATGAAGAACATGTCCAACATCATAGATATCCAGCAAGGATTGGGTAAGTCAGTTTACATTTTTATCTTCACATGAAGATAAAAATCATGAAACTACGTCCTCTCCAAGATAAATGAATGAGTAACATTCTTTTTGTTTGTTTGTTAATTCGTTTACAGATATGTGATCCGGCTGCCGTTGTACGACGTAGAAGATTTGAACTCCGGAGAATGGTCCAGACATGCAGAAGAAGCGAATGCGTACAGAATGGAGAGGAAAGTCAGTGACACTACAGGCAGACTGGGCAGGGTCATCTACCAACTAGACAATAACGACAACAGCTATGTCAACCCACGAAGGGCTTGTCAGGACTGGTATGAGGTATGTGACTTGAAGATCATTGTTGCAGGCATTCAGTAGTTGATTACTCTTATCTTTAAGTGATGAGCATTCTTATCTAGCTAGGTAAGCCCAGGCAATGCAAATAAAAGCTTGTGCAATACGGTAAAACATGGGCTTAATATCCTGACCTATTGCAACCGTTTCTGGTAGCATGCATTTATTAAGTGAATAACTGCGGGATTCAAACTCCATGGCCTTATCATCCAGAAACAGGGTCACTAACCACTGGTCACTAGCCACCAGACTATACAGGCTATTGTAGCATTAAATTTTCAGTTGTAATATCTGTTTTTGTCTCCACAGCTTGAGCCAGATCCGCAGAGTTTTGCAGCAGAGGTGATTGGCACATGTCCAGGCTGGGGAGGGCAGGCTAGGGACGAGAGGGGACGTTGGGAGAAGATCACATCTGATCAGGATACGTCCTCTCAGTGTTATCAGAAGATCTTTCCTCTGAGATCAGGTTGGCAGCTGTCAAAAATTATTCATGACAGCAATATATCTGAACAAAAAGTCAACTTAATATTCATTTGCATATTTGGGACAAGCCAAATGGTCTAAAGGTCCCGAATATGCAAATAAAGTTGGTGCTTTCCTTAGTGCTGAAATGTGTATCTTTTCACAGATTCCAGCTTTGTCATCATGTAGCATATGTCACTTTCTAATGTAGTTCCCGTAACACAATTTAACTTTATTGTTGAAATAATGTGTAATGCTCTATTTTTACCCAAGGTGGTAACCAGGAATGTTGCTATGGAGACAAGAACCAGTTGATTGACACCCTGAACAGGGTTCATCGGGGTACGACAGGCTTCCTGCACAGGTATCCCAAGGTGAGAGGAAAGATCGGATTTATGTAGAATTACATATTAAGTTAAAGTATTGGTTTGTATTTAAATTTATCTGATATGTAGTACATGTACCCTTTAATAACCTCAGGATATGGTTTAATTTTTATTTATTGTCCAAACAGTACCCGTGCAGTCGCAGCCTTTATACGGCTGAATTGATGCAGGGTATCACATAATAATCAATACAAATCACAATTACAACAATCAAATAATACACATGATACACATTGTGGAGTTATTGTTTTGAGTGTGGGTGTGTGTTGTGTTGGTGTGTGTATGTTTGCCTTCAATTGCAATTATAGAAGTATAGGAAGTCTAAAAGTGGGACACTTCTCCCCCTTAACAAGGAAATTGTTCTTAATATGAAACTATCAGGGAAACGCCAACGACCAGACAACCAATCACTACAAGTTTGACATCCTGCCGCGTAAGTGGTGCTGTGAGGAGTCGGGTTCGGATGAGTACTGCAAACGGTACGCAGAAAAACGGCCCATTGGCACATCTGCTCGGTACAGGGCAGTCAGGATCGGTAAGGATTTTTCTTGACCATTAATTGAAATGAATGGTTAGACAGTATATTATGATAAATTAATTACACAATTGTACATTAAGGACTATATTATGTGAACTTCAAGGTATTGGATAAGAGGCAACATCAAGTAGTGAATGGACAGCTGGCCAAACCTTATTTATAGTTTTTTAATGAATCTACAATTTGTTGAACTGAATCAAAATGTCTTTTCCCTTTATCAAAATGCCATTTCCATTCGTTCATTCACTCACAGCCAATGCCTTTGGTGACCCCCACTTCACCACCCTGGATGGTCGGAGCTTCACGTTTAATGGCTATGGAGAATACGTCCTACTGATGTCCACCAGTGATGCTCCTCATGACTTCATGCTGCAGGCACGCACGGCTGTGGCCACATCTCAAGGAGCTCAAGTACAAGCTACTGTCTTCAGGTAACAAGGGAACCATGGTTTTACACATTTACCTAAAAACATGGGATTGGGGGGTGTATACGGGACTACGGGTATATATGGGACTACGAATCAGTCAATAAACCAAACCTTGGTTCATCTTTAAACCCTTACAGTGCAGTAGCTGTAAAGCAGCCGACCAATGACGTCCAAGTCTACCTGTCCGGAGATGACACAGTCCGAGTCAAGGTGGACAATACAGATGTCACCCTGACATCCATCGCAGACAACTCCTACAACCAGGGGATCTTCCCAGACGGGAGACTTTTTGCTGTCTATGGTGAGTTAGAAGTCTTTACGGTTACTCTGACTATACTGTAAATGTACTATTGAACTTGAAAATCTGGATATAGCACCTCCATGGAGAGCAGATGCCTCACAGATAAACAAAAATCAAATTTATGCTCATTTGCATATTTGGGACAAACAAAATGGTTTCTAGGTCCCGAATATGCAAATAAGATTGGTGCTGTCCTTAGTGCTGAAATGTGTATCTTTTCACAGAATCCAGCTTTGCCATCAATTTTGTTCAATTTAGGTTGCTTTATTTTACAGTCTTTCCCCCTGGTGCTGAACTGCCTTCTATGAGTTTATTCAAAGCAGCAAAATATTCTACTCTTTGTTCCAGATGACACAGACCCTACCATGATAACAGGAGTGCTGGTGACCTACAGCTCTGGTATATCTGTCCGTGTTACAGCAGTCAACGGGCTCCTGGACTTTGTCGTTGGGATGGTCGCTGAGATGGAAGGAAAACTCACAGTCAGTGGTTATAGTTTCCATCATGTTAAATATGTCTACTAGTTGAGCATTGTTTTGCGTCAGATAAAAACCATATCTGGGGCCAGGATATGAGAAAGGTTTACTGTAACAGTTATTAGTATTTTGCATTTAACATAGAACAACACAAACATCAATAGTGATATTCTTAGATACATGTAAGTTCATAGTTTAATACTATGAAAATTTTTACCATTACTGCATACTAAGATTATCCAGTGAATTATGTCATCTTCAAGCCGTTTTACTGTTCCTGCCACAGACTCTAGTGTCTTTTCAATTTTCTTTTCCACATTTTCCATACCAGGGGCTGCAGGGTAATTCTAATGGTAACCCTGGTGATGACTTCATTAAACCAGATGGGAGTGCAATCACCACGGCCACACCTAGCAACCCTTCAGAACGAGAGCTGTTTGCATACGGCAAGACATGTAAGCTGTCTTATTATTCACTTGGTGAAACTTGTCCAATATTAAGTTAATTTCATAGCTAACAATATTTTTATGTGCTAGCATTTATACATTTTTGAAATGACAGTCATTTCTATCAACGATTATTTTGGAATCAATTAATACTTAAAAAGCAAAGTGAATTTTCAACTGTCTTGTGAACGTAGCATGATCTGAAGTCCATAAAATTGGAAACTGCCACTGATCTGGGACATATTATTCAACTGCTCCTTAGATTTCATGTCCTGCATTTCTAATTTCCCCCTTTTGCCCTGCAGGGTCCTTGAAGAATGTAGCCCAGCATCTTAACGAAGATCTCAACACCTTCTCCCTCTTCTCATCATATCCCTCCGACTCAAACAACAATTCTCCAGACAGCTACGGGGATGAAAACTTTGTCCCTATGTTCTTTGACGATGGACAGATCTTTACTGATGAGACCCTGAGAGAAGAAGCAGAGGCGACATGTGGTGATGGTACAGCATGCCTGTATGACATCGCAGTTACGGGAAATCTGGCTGTCGGAAACAACACTTTACTATCAGACAACACCTTCCAAACTGCTATGGGAGTTCTCAGTAAGTTTTCTTGATTTCTGCAAGGGTAATAGACTGATTGTACTGTACTGTAAATATGTTTAATGTGTTGGTTTTATTTTGAGGTAGAAGGGAAACAGACTTAACACTGCAGTTTAAAAAAAAGTACTTTTAAAAGACCTTAAGAATGAGTAATATCTTGCAATTCCATGTAATCACAACAATTATTCGTGGTTTGCTTCTAGTTTTTAAGTCTTTTTGAATCAGATTCAGGTAAAAAAAATCATCACCAACTTCTCCCAAAATAGTTTCATAAGGTTGGTCTCTGAGTCAGTTTCCTACGATATTGGAGTACTGCTTCTCACCACCTACATATACATAGGCCACATGTAGTGGCAAGAAGCGTACTCCAATCATAAGCTCTGTGGAAGATACCTGACAGGCATCAAAACATAAGCAGGTGAGACACTTACCTGGTTGTCTACAATCAGAAAACTCCAATATCATCAACTTCTCTCCTAGATAACAAAGCCCCAGTGCTGGTGGTGCCCAGCGAGATCCGTGCTGAAGCTCACACAACCTACACGCTGGCTATAAGCGCTATTGACGAGGGGTCAGAGGTCAAACTGAGCCTGGAAGAAGGCAGCGTGGGAAGCCTGGTGAAGACTGGACCCAAAACTGCCACATTCATGTGGACCCCGCAACACATAGACACAGTCTTCATTGAGTTTGTGGCAGAGGATGAACAGGTGAGATTTGAAATAGTTTTAATACTTTTGATTTCACATTGCATAATTGAGTAGATTGATAGCAATTGTGTTAATGTTTAAGCAACACCAAAATGATGTGATAAATAATGAATGATATGCACCTGCACCATACTGTAACAGTAACAGTTTATAGATGATATGTCTGTGTTTGTGTTTGTTTTTGCATATTATATATTATCTTTATAGGTATGAGGTTAGGCTGTATTTTTATTACACTGAAACAATCAGAGGGAGCAGTCAACATAACTGTCCAGTATGAGCTCATTTTGAACTTGAATGTTGACTGTATAAAATGTGTCAACTCCAATCCAAACAGGGTGCTCGTACAGAGTTTATCCCAGAGGTGACGGTTTGTGACTGTCACAACAACGGGACCTGTGACTACAACAACACCATAGAGAGGGTGAACGGCTTTGCTGCAGCGGTGTGCCAGTGTCTGCCCGGCTTCGGGGGCGATCACTGTGACATTGACATAGACGCTTGCGAGGGAAATCCATGTTTTCCAGGTGAGTACACAACCTCTGACAGCTTTGTAATTCATCTTACTATCAGGTCAGGCCTACTGAAAAAAAATTGTGTGTTTCCAGTTTCCCTAGCAAAACCTGATGACATAATGTCATCATCTAACTACAATTGTTTTAACAAGAGAGAAGAAGAATGCAACGTTACATGTAAGTTTATAGGAAAGCATATACCCCCAATGGGGTATGAATATGCAACAAACTTCGTTAGTCTCATTGATATGAAATGAAAGTCTGACACAAGTGACACGCATGCAAGCCCAGGGTAGCATTCGTGTACCACAAGTACAGAAGGTGTCTTGATGCTGTACTTGCTGTTATTTTTCAGGAGTTCAGTGTTACGATGCGGCTGCCCCCCTCCAGCCAGGTCAGAGGGCATACACCTGTGAACAGTGCCCAGATGGAACGGTGGGAAATGGAGAATCATGTGAAGGTATTTACAAACAAAATAACTCCCTGAGTTAGCTTTGTATTCTGAGTTATCCTGTACACCATATGTTGTCAGAGGGACTTCCATCAACTTAACTTGCCATGTGACTCGTCAACTGTAAGCTCCAGATTATGTACAGATCTCAAGACTGTCGTGCTGGCATGTAAAAAATGTTGTATTTGTATACTATTATATTAAAGATATTGGCAACTGGCAACTTAGGATCATAGCAACATCAACAGTCATGTAAAAGATTACCAGAGCCTGAAGTATGAACGACTATGTGCCTCAGTCATCTTAGACTGCAAAGAACTACCATCATTGATGATGAATGCTTTATTTCTTTCAGATATCAATGAGTGTTTGCTAGAGTCTAACGACCCAGGCTACCATACCTGTGTGAACGCTGACTGTGTGAACACACCGGGCAGCTTCAGCTGTGTCTGCCACCCAGGCTACCAGAGGGACGGAGACGGACACCACTGTGTCGGTGAGGACACCTTGTTGTTTATCTGTGAACTGCACTCTCAGCATACCTGAACATTGAAATTTCCCAGCTAAGCCAGGTGTGTGATTAACTGACTGTTCAAGGCCACACCAATTCATAAATTTCCTTGGGTGCCAGACAATTTAAAGTAATTTTCAAAATTAGAGAACTTCAGTTTGCCTGTATTCACTTCCAGAAACTGTATGTACTACTTTCTAGTAAGACTTCCCCCAGAAACTCAGTTGCTATGTTGATCTTCAAATCAGTTTTTTTAATAATCCTTAGCTTTGATCAATTTGCTTGAATGTTCGTTCCCATTTTTGAATATGCCTTTATTTGATGATTTTCTTCTGCCAACTTAAGATATCAATGAATGCCGGAACAAAGACCACAACCGTTGTGACTCCCACCATGGGATCTGTGTGAATAATGACGGAGGTTACAACTGTTCATGCCAGCCTGGACATACAACCAACGACAATGGAACCACCTGTACAGGTTAGACCATGTGCTAGTCTAACGGATTATGATATTTTAGTTCTGAGAGTAGGAAAAGGATAACCCAGTGTAGGTGGTTTGTGGTTAGGGTTATTGACTTAAGAATATATATGTTCAAGGTTCCAATCTGTAGTAGGACTGAAAGTTGTGTCCTTAAAAAAGGCAGTATACTTTATCTATTTAATCAGTCGATTCACAATACTTCATCATGAAAATGCGTACGTTTGACCCACCTGTTTGGGACATCCTCTTGCATAGAACACCTAACAATGTCTTGCCATTGCCAATATCAAAGCAATCACATGCCATTCCACATTTTTTGCCTCTACAGATATTAATGAGTGTATGGACAACAATGGGGGTTGTGAGCGGATATGTGTCAATGAGGACGGCAGCTTCAAGTGCCAGTGTGGCATCGCGTACTTCCTACGGCCGGATGGGCGTACTTGTCAAGGTACGAGTAATTCTGTTTCAATCTTTAAAGACAGGATTGATGCCTTTTTGTGTAATTATAATGGAATCAATAGATGCATAACAAAAAATGTTCATTACCTCAAGGGAAAGTTTCTTGGCATAACCCTGTCTTCAGCACCAAGGACAGTGCCAGCTTACAAAAAAGAACAAACCAACAATGGTTGTACACTCTTTTATATCCATTAGTTTGATCTGTTTTCTCATTGATTTTTGTTTCTTCTGTTTATTCTTCAGAGCTGGATGAGTGTTCAGCTGGAAACTCATGTGAACAGATCTGCACAGATCGTGTTGGGTTCTATGAGTGTGGCTGTACCGAACTCTTCACTCTGAACCAGGATGGGAGGACCTGCAGACGTAAGTCCATTCTTCTCATGTATTGTCTTCTCCATATGGAAATATGTGTATCAAAAACAAATTGGGCTCTTGAGAAGATTTGTTCTCTTAGTTCTCCTGTCACTGCGATACTCATGATACTAACTTTAAAAGATAAGATTGTGCTGGCACAATAATCTAGAGTGTAGAGTGCTCATTTTGCATTTGAGTTATTTTTCATCCTCCCCGCAGCCCTAGTGAACTGTTCCAGCCCCAGCCCGTGCCACCCCGGTCCTGTGGGGACATGTGCTGTGAACATCACCAACGGCAGCAGGGAGGAGGTCTGTGGGTGTGTCACAGGGTACGCCCTGCAGCCTGACAACTCATGCCAAGGTACTGGAACATGGCTGCTTTAGTTTTGTATTGTGAACTCTATACCATGCCCTAGACACAGTGAATTAACATTAACAACCCACTGCCCCTATGGCCTGAAAAAAGGCTAGGGGACTGTGTATACCCATCTTTTTTAACCATTCTTTCCTTTTTCAGATATTGATGAGTGTGCATTGGACATTGACCAGTGTGATGAGCATGGTGACTGTGTGAACACTGTTGGTGACTACAACTGTAGCTGTCACACTGGGTATCAGCTCACCAAGAACCATGGCAAACGCCACTGTGATGGTACGTGAATATTTGCATCTCTATCTGTATAGCAAGTATAACCAGCCTTCAGCATAACACACCAGCTTCTGTATTTGTACATTGGGTATAGCCACCCTTTGTAACACACTGAAGTTACATTTAAGGGCACACAGTTTTTTCACATGTTCTGCCGACGCGCTTGCTCTGTCAACTTTGGAACCAAAATGAACTGACATGTTATGGGCTCCCCCTTGCAGACGTGAATGAATGTGCAGTGGATGACGGAGGCTGCAGTGACATCTGTGAGAACACAGACGGCTCCTATAACTGTGCCTGCCCTGATGGCTACAACCTGGGAGGGGATGGCAGGACTTGTGAAGGTGGATGTTTTTTTGACACCAGGTCCTAATCCCATAGCATACTGATTAAAGTGTGAGGCAAAACTGCAATGTCCCTGATACCATACAATGTCTTGTTTCATATCAGAAGCTGGTTGGTTCTAGCTATCTATCAGTGATACAAAATAATAAAGGAACAAAATGTATATAAATTGAAAATGTGACATTTTTTAATGTATTATTTGTTCTTTTGAGTAATCTGAAACGTCAATATCATTTTCTACTAAAATGTAGTATATTTGAGTGAAGATATCACTTTTTGCAGTAAAAGGCTGTACTGTTACTGTTGTTCTTGTGCTCATAATTTTTCCCCATGTCCCCAGACCTGAATGAGTGTGTGTTAGGCACGGATGACTGCTCCACACAAGCCCAGTGTAACAACACTGTCGGCGGGTTCACCTGTCACTGCAGAGACGGGTTTGAAGGAGATGGGACAGCATGTGGGGGTAAGTGACTTCATTTCTATTAGCCTGACTAAATCACACTTCTAGCAGCTCTTCCACTGGTTAGGCCTCTAGAAGCTTGATGGCCAACACATCTAAGTCAGGAGAATTTGGAACATCTTTTCCTGTTGGTGTATGTATATGTGCTTACATGGACCAATTACTGTCAAACTGAGAATTGTCTGTTACATAGTGTTGGAGGCTGTGATGACTGGTTTCCATAGTAACAGAGAACCCTGAGCTCCTATTGGTAGTTCTGGGAATGGGAATGGTTCTCTTAAGTTACAGGTGTATGGCAATAATCTCTTTGGGAGGATACCCGATCAGCCCCTGACTGTGAGGTATTGTGTAACACAGTGGCTAACATATCTATATAGTAGAGGGGATTCATTCCTCAAGCTACCGACATCTTGCACACGCAGTCGTCCCTCAGTAAGACATCTGGAGTCGCATAGTTCCCGTTTAGAACTTTTATTCAGCCTGTCACACAGTGGCTAACATGTCTATGTTATCTGACAGATGGTTTGTGTGTCAGGTGGAATGCAGTGAAACAAATTGCTCAATCTTATGATCTGCCTACAGATATCGATGAGTGTGTGCGATCAGACATAGTGACCTGTCAGGTGGGCTGTAGTAACACCCTGGGTGGGTACATGTGCACCTGTGGGACTGGATTCTTCCTCACAAGTGACCAGGTGTCCTGTCAAGGTGAGAAAATATCCCAAGTTTCTTTCAGTGGACATTTTTTGACAAACCAAATCTAAGGAAAAAGATCTGTAGTTTGGGGGGAAAGTCATTTAGCAATTACATGACTAAAAAGAAATTTATGGTTAAGTTAAGCATTATTTTTATGGCTAATCACTGTGTCATGTTTTATTTTTCAGATCTGGATGAATGTGCCAGGAACACAGACAACTGCCAGCAGAGATGCACCAACACTGCAGGGTCCTTTGTGTGTGCCTGCGACCCGGGCTATGTACTACAGGCTGATAGGAGAACATGTCAACTACCTCCTACAAGTTAGTGAAATACAAATGTGTATACCTCTTATGCCATTCACATTCTTTGCAGTCGGAAACCTATTAGAGTTAAATTATAGTAATTTTAGATATCAAATACTGTATATGGCAAGTGCTCCAAGACTTCTGTTGTGTAATAAATTGTTTCCTCCAATACTAAATTACATGATTGTATATGACAATTCTTGATTCCAATGCAAATTTTACATTACAATTTAGGTACCTGACATATTCTCAGAAACTACACTAAATACTAATTCTAGCTGTTGTTCTCATTCTTTCTACCATCTCTAATTTCTGTGCACAGCTTCAACTGTTACTCCAACAGTCCAAACCTCCCCCAGTACAGACAGAGCCTCTACAGTAAATCCTACACAACCTGGTGTAACTACAGTCTTCATCTCACCTGCTATCACTCGCTCTACAGGTACAGGAGGGAGGTGTGTGTGTGTGTGTGTGTGTGTGTGTGTGTGTGTGGAGGGTGAGTGAATGAATGGAGTCAATGAATAAGTTAAAGAATGGGTATGTGATTTCTTACATGAGTGAGAGAGTGGGTGGTTGGTGGATGCTTGAGTGAGTAAATGTGTGAGTGAAAGTGAAGAAATGAATGGTTTCAAAATTGTGTAAAATAATGAATTAAATCATTAAGAATTAAATACTTAACACCTGTCCATTTCAAAAGGAGACATCATGTGCTGATTACAACAAAATTGGCAAAGTTAACAACTTTTAAAATATCTATCACCTTAAATGTTCAGTTGAAGGATGTCAGACCATTTAAATGTTCATATGTAGTAACCATTGTATTACATGAATATTATAATATTTTACACTTATCAATAATACAATCTTACACTTCACAGGTGTTCCACCAGTAGTTCTTCCTGAAGAGCCAGAGTGTGGCACAGACTGTCATGTCCAGGCACGACACCTAACAATAGGGAACAGGGAACAGTGTGTGTGTAACCCAGGGTGGACTGGCAATGGGACTTACTGTGAACTGGGTGAGAGACCTATGATTTAACCACCATTCTTTCACTAATGATTCAACAGGGATTTTTTATAAACCCACAATTGGCCCCCTCAAAAGATATAACAACGTTGATTTTGTTAATCCTTATTGTTTTTGATAAAACTTTGTGTAATTCAAAATTTTATATTCCTATTTTGCAGCTTTCTTAACAAAGGTTTTTTTTTACATCAATAAAGCTTCTCTCTCTCTCTCTCTCTCTCTCTCTCTCTCTCTTAAGTGCTACATCTGTGTGCATTGTTTTACATCTGAAGATAATACATTTATTTGGTCATACAGAATAATGTAGATAATTTAGATTCCCTTTGACATTAAAGCTATTTGTGAAATGTTGATCACATAAGACTAATAAAGGTAAGATAAAACTGCCTTGATAATATATCATAAAAAAGCCTGAACTACTTCTAGTAATTGTGTTGGTACATCCCTGGAAATTTAGTTACAGTAGTCACGCTGACAGTCTATCCAATTTCTAGATATCAAAGCAATCAGAGTTCCAGCAATGAAACACAATAACTACAAATGGACAATAAAGTCTCCCACTCACCCTGCTTTTCCTAGCTTCCAAGTAGATCTTGAAATAACTGCTGCTGCAGAGAAATACATGTAGATGAGACATTTAGTTTCAAATTGACAAGCACAATAGTTCTATCTCTTTTGTTTTAGATTTTTATGATTTGATTAAATTTATCAATTTTGAGGTAATTCAAAGTATTTAGTATGCTTGTTTGTGACCATATGATCCTGTTTTGATACAGACCAGACTTTTCAAATATTTTCTCCTAGAATCATTAACCTATTATTCTTCTATCTCTTTTCCCAGCTGCCAATGGCTTTAACCTGAGACTGAGAATGAAGAACATCTCATTTGTTGATGAGCTGAATAACTGCAGGTCTCAGGAGTTCCAGGACCTCTGGCCGATTGTCTTCAGAAGGGTGAGCAGATAATGAAGGGTTAATGACCCAACCCGAGGTGTATATGGTGTCATAAGGCCTGGTCATTTCCTATGACCATGGAATAAATGGCCAAATGAAACAACCCATTATGACGCAACCTCTATACAAAGATGGGGGCATGCGAAGCTCAAAATTCATGTCTGACAGAGGTTGATATCGTACTCAGGTGTCTTTGAATCAGTCTACCCTATTGGTGATGGTGTTTATGGATTTAACATCAGTACTTTTTTATTAAATTTTGGTCCCCTGGTGGTTGCCCTTGGTACTGCAGCAGAATTTCTGTGATGTTTTTTTTTAATATCTTGTTAACCTACATTTCTTGCTTCTTGTCCCTACAGCTGGATAGTTACTATCGCTACCACCAGAACAGGCGAATATCAGACAACTACCTGTACTGTAACCTCCAACTCTTCCTGAATGGCAGCGTCATAGCCTACCACACAGCCACCTTCAAGGCGGACTCCGACCTCACCAGAGATGACCTGGCTGCTGCCCTAACCCAGGCTATATCTGCTGACACAGCCAACACACTCGGGTTTGATCCAGAGTCTCCAGGAATAGAAGGTAAAAAGTTTTGGTTATGTCTTCATGATGTTTATGAGGGCTATACCGGGTATATACCATTTTGTATTTTTCTAGTGTGTAGGTTAGTGTGTTGGTTTGGGTGCCACTGGTTGGCTGATTGGTTTGCATGGTTATCTGAGTTAGTAAGGGTAGGTGGGTGTTTACCAGCTCCACTTCACTACTAGCTAGTGAAAAAGAATGGACTAAGGCTGACCAAAAGCAAAGTACATTGTGCTGTTGTGTGGTCCTCTCCTTGGTACTGAAATGCTATCAGCTGACACAGAGGATGATAAATAGCTAACATGGCTGATTTTAACAAATCAGTTCTTAGATAGTTCTGAAATCTATTAGATTTCAGCTTAACATTGTGTTATTTACCTCAATTGTAACATTATAGTAGCTATGATTGCCAAGTGTTATGTTTGAGGTACATGTATGCTATCTGATGAACATTCAAAGATTGTTGAAAAAGGTAAAATGTAAACCGTGCCTGTGAACAGTTCTGAAGTTTGACTGATCTGATATGTTGCCCATTTCCTGTGTTTCCCTCCCAGAGCTGTGCTACAGCAGTTACTGTATGAATGGAGGAAACTGTGTGCAGTCAGGCAGTGGGGACAGGACATGCAAGTCAGTATCATTCTTTGCCTTCTGATTTTTAAACTAATCATTCATTATAATAATCATGATAATTGCTTTATGGTTTGCAATTGAAGCACATAGACTAAATACATTTTGTACCAAGTAGAACTGTTTTAATATTTGTTCATAATATTATGAATTGCTTATCCCACAGATGTCCAGTTGGCTTTGCCGGTGTTAGATGTGAGAGAAGAGGTAAGTCATCTATTACATGTAGTTTTAATGGCAAAAGGACTGATTTTTCTCTTGATTCTTAGTTCTTTGGAGGACAAATCCTGGGTGTACACACTTGAGATATAATCCTCATGTTCAAGACATTTTTTAGAAAGACCTAGATGATAACACCTTTTTGTGATGTACCCAGCAGAATTATGACAGTTAATATTGAAGTATCTGATTTTTACAATCTTTTGTTGATATTTTCAGATGACACTGGCCTGCTGACCCGTATATTTGGTGTGCTGGGAGCGTTCCTGTTGTTACTGTTGATGGTGTGCCTGTGTCGTTACTGGTTCCTCATCCAGAAGAAGAGCAGCAAAATGAGATAGTGAGCATCTCCCTTAGAACGCTATTGATGCAGCTGTATTAAAAGGATAGTTACTCAAGGATCTGGATAGATTTGAAAACTGTCCATCCACTAGTTTTCATCCTGAAACATCTGACATCTCATTACATGGATGACCAGCCTTCATCAGCATATGCTGTATTAAGTATTCATAATACAATTGTGAAATTGTTCTCTAAAATCATTCAGCAAATCTTGGAAATGCATAATGATTGCATAGCTAGTGTTATCATTATGTGTTATCATTTTATTATGTAGAGGGAGGGAGACAGTTGCCTTGGGCCGGGAAAGACGCCCAACACGATGATGATGGTGTATTATTATGCATTAAAGCTGGCGTGTTATGCCAAAGGGTGGTTATACTGGCAACAGATACAAAGCTAGATCAGTTACTATAGAAAGTTACATCAATGTCTATGGGTACAGTAACTGTTACTATCTAGAGCTAAGATCATATCACAGTACAAATGTAATAACACACAAACTTCTATCCCACAGTTACGTGCCCAGAGACGGCGCCCTGGGAGCTGACTCCGACACCAGTTCCACGACTGAGGACATGGTCCAGCGCGTCGGCCCGACCATCTTCGTGGGGCGTTACCTCCCCAGACGCGGCTTCACCAACGAGCTGCGCCGCAGCCCGTCAGCCACCAACCCTGACGCACACGACGAACGGCTTTATAACGAGATCTTTGGGAAGAACGATACAGTAAGTCCCAACTGTATTTTTTGTTCTTTTCATCACCTTCTTCTGATGCAATTTTAGGATGACATAACGCTTGTTAATTTGACATAGTACTGGAAATTTTAAAAGATTCAGTTTTCAATTTTTCATTAACTTGCAAACATGTATATTCATGCTATTGTTAATTTTACTAAACCACAAACTTGTATCAACAGCTCCATTGTCTTGCTACTAATCTTTCAAGTACCAACATCAACATACCCAATTTGCTCAGATCTTACGATTGTGAGGTGTTTTTTTTTTACAGCAATCTACATTACCTGATTTGCTCTGTCCGCAATTAATCCCTATAATGTATTTTTCTTAGTTCAAAATCCAGCGGCCCAAGTGGAGTTATCTGCCCATCTCTGGTCCTCCATCAACAATGGGGAGTATGATGTAAACCAACCAACTCTTGACTGTGCAGACTCCTGAAATCTATGCAGATTAATTATTCTTGAAATTGTAAAATGTATTTTCATATGTAAAGAGAGAGTACATTGCTGTAAATTTTTATGACAAATATTTAGAGAGAAATGATATATTAAATTAACAATATAGTTTAATTTACCACAAAGTGAATCTTATTTTGTAAATATTTTGTTGAATGTTGCATTCACACTTCTGTGTTGCAGTTAGGCTTAAGAAATAAATAAGACTCAAATATTCTTAAATCATCATATATCGTCAGGTATCAGATTATTGATCTATAAAATATAACAAGAATATAATGAAGATATCCTTTTAAGAACCTAGTTTAAATATATCAGTATGTATGAAAATGATACATTATTTTGATGGTTTTTGTACTTAACCAGTTTCACGTTCCATGTCATTGTAATAGAAAGTATTAAGACTTTTTATTTCAAATATTTAAATAGATGAAAAGTGTACTTCGTGTCTCCTTATTGTGTTGTTTGGGTTTGTCTTTGTATTTGCCTGTGTTTATGTGTGTGCCCATGTTTGTGTGCGTGTGTATGTGTGTGTGTGTGTGTGTGTGTGTGTGTGTGTAACGTGTACATGCAATAATGACTACAGGTGAGGAGAAAGGCCATAAAACATGTGCCAACATAAAACTAGATAATAGATGATAGCATTGTGGGTCTACAGATGGCTGTACTAAAGACTTTTGCTATTGCACAGGGGAAATGTTTAGGTCACGATCCCAATTTACAGTGCATTATGAAGTGACGTGGTAATCAGTACTGCAACCATCTTTTATGGGAGAAATGTCAAATCTACAGGCCCCTTCACACTACAGGCGTAATGCGGTCTGGATGAAAATTCTTTGTATTTTCCTGTATATTCTAGAAATCCATTCTAAAGATTTGTGTTTATTCTTGTGGCCCGCCCAAATGTTTCAAGCATGCTCAAAACTTTCGTGGTGACTGAAAAGTCGAAAAAATATCTAAGTGCATTTTAGCTGCAGTATGACTACATTCAGACACATAAACATGCAGACAAAGCACCAGTTTTGGTAAACGGGGTGGAAATAGAAGTAGTAGACAGCTACATATACCTGGGCAAAAAGATAACACACGATGGAAGTATCCTGCCTGAGATAAAGAGACGCATCACACTGGGATGGGCAGCTTTTGGAAGAGTAGATAACATCATGAGAAGTAAGAAAGCCAGTGTAAGACTCAAGAGAAATGTTTTTAACCAGTATATACTCCCAGTGATGACATACGGTAGTGAGACATGGGCACTAACCAGCACCCAGATGGAGATGCTCCGGGTTGCGCAGCGTAAGATGGAGAGGATCATGCTTGGTATAACACTGCGAGACAGGAAAAGAAACTCCTGGATCCGACTCCAGACAGGAGTAACCGACATCATCACTGCTGTCAACACAGCAAAACACCGCTGGGCAGGACATGTAGCTAGACTACAAGACAACAGATGGACACTAAGAGCCACTGAGTGGACACCCCGGGAATGGAGGAGACGCAGAGGACGGCCCTGTACGAGGTGGAGGGACAGTCTTGTGCAACACCTGGGCCCTGCTTGGCCCAGATACGCCAGACTGAGAAGAGAGTGGAATGAGTCAAGGGAGGGGTTCCTCCAGAGGAGTGACATTACCCTGGATTGATGATGATGATGATGACTACATTCTAATATTCCTACAGTATTCCAATAGTGTTCCAATCATCATGATCACATTAAGGGAGAACGCAAACAGGCCTGAGTAACTGGAATACACCTCGAATTCTCATAAGAATGCACTTCGAATAGCCGAGAGTGTTCAAGAAATTTTCATTCCGATGGCATTCCGTCTCACATAACGGTGTTATTGGAAATTTATCAAGAATGTCTTGAACGACTTGATACATGAAGTGTGCATTCCTTTGGGACTTACTAATGCTGCATTAGTAGATCCCCTAATTGATTACCAGACAGATATCAAAGAAGATTGAATTGCTTGTCTGATGCCTGCTCCATGATTGTATGTTGTTTAATAATACGTCTGTCTCCGAAAGTTTCCAAAGTGTAATTATCACCCATCTGTTGCCCTGGACTAAATAATGCAGGAACTCGCAAGAAAAAAGGCCACATTATAAGTAAATTTTATGGATGACATCCTCCGCAGCCTCAAAATCTAATGCAATAGAGAAAAACCAAGGTGGGTCGAAAAATAAGATTCCTACATTTTCAGATTTTGACATCATAAACCTTGTCTAAAAGGAAATGTGCTACATTGTGCTAAGTTCTATTTACAACATTCATTTCTTACTGAAACAACTTTGAAAAATGTCTTCAATCGTTGTACAAATGGTTTTGATTCAGTGGGAACATCACATATACACAGCCAACATCACATATAAAAGGAATGACATACATCACTGCATCAAAGTAAAAGACAAAACATTAAATCAGAGCATTGTCTCCTCTCTTCATATTTATCTGCGATCCACGTTCCAGCATGGCAATAAACATATTTGCCCATTTTCGGCTTGGTGACCACTGGCAGAGGGCAAGAAAATTTCTTATTCTTTTTCCAAAATCAGGCGAAAATTAATGCGCGCGCTGATGGCATCCATAAAAATTACATACTGAGGCCTAAGCGACTTTCTTCATTACATGGAATGTCACTTAGAATCAAACTTAGGCACAGTTTCAATTTGTTCCCTTCCGTCCGTAGATGGGACTTATGTAAGCTGTAACTAGATGTACACGACCCCATAACTACACCAAACAAGGTTAACAACCCTCACGACTGACGAATTTGCGGATATAACAGTTGTCCGATGACAGACCTATCTTCACAAAGAAGGTTATAATAGTATTCCCTCATCAAGTCAGACCATAATTTGCATAAGCTACGCGTACTGATGTTCATCAGTGATCAGTTCTTCACTTTATGCCCATTTTGCTTTTTTTCCTCGCTTTTTTTTCTCATCAGATCTGAAATCAATTTGCGAAGGATTTCATCTGTCATACTTAGTGGTACGGCCTTCGTATAGAGGCCAAGGATACTGACTGGAATTCTAAATACGTTGGCGCCAAACTCAGAAAGAAGACATAATATGAAATAATCAAAGACGTCATACTCGTGCACATCTATCTGAGAAGTCGACTCGTTTTTCTCCCTTTGTCAAGTTGAATGAGGTGGATTGAAAAGCCTGCCCGTACGCAGAATGGTTAATAGCACGGCAGGCTGTTCAGTAATTGGCTTGATCTTCAGCGCCCTTGAAAGCTGAAATGAAATTGGCTGCACGAAGACCTTATAAATACTTACACAACAAATCGCGCTAGAGGTCGTCTTGTCTGCAGGGGGTGGGCGCTTAATGATAGAGGTAGAGAGTGGAGAAATCTTTAAGATATATGTACTTTCGGATGAACAATTGTGTAAAACATGATCCAAGAGTTTACATTGTACATGGCAATGATCGGGAATTCTTTTCCAACCTAGTTCAGCAATGAACAATGGATATGAGGATACCTCTTACAACCCTTGCAACAACCCCTCGATTAATTGTGGTAAAGCCGACTGAAAGGGCAAAGTTGTACAAAGAGTGTATCTAGAATGTCATGGACGAACAACTTCTACAGTCTGGGAATAGCATTCACACAATCAATGAATTTTTAATAAAGCAGGCTCCAAAAATATATCTTACATGGAAAAATTACAACTTACAACAAGACGTATTCATTGATCCAGAGTCATATTTTGAAAAGAAAGCAAATAAAATTGTTCCTCAGAACGTCTCTTGCATATTTTATGATTCACGAATCATTAGTTGTATCTATTTATACACACATTAATCCTTCCCCACACACTATCATGATTCACATGAATAATGATATGCATGATGTACACAGACCGGCTATATAACGAAGTTCTGAACGCTGTGTATTCTATATAATTGCCACGCAGCTACGCAGTCGAGATGGAAATTAGATTCCCCTGCGATTCGGGTCCATATGATCAGTAAATTGGACGTCAAATTGACGATCAGGTTGTTTTATGTGTGAGACCTCCGCGGCGTGACTGTGTGCCGAGCGAGGTAATGGGTCGTCCTAATGCATCGTGAAGGTGGAGTCAGCCAGGATTGACTTATCTGGTCAAACTGCTGCCCTCCTGTGTTGAACAAGGGCAGACATCAGGGATCTTCACGGGGAGAGAGATTGTGACACAACATCAGCAGGCAAAAAATACCGCCGACTTAGTGCCGTTCCGCTGCGACCGTGTGCGGCCGCTGTACCATACTGACTTACTCTCCAAGTAGACGTATTCTAGGCGTTTTCATCGGTCGTCCTTTTTGTACTGTTATATACTTATTCGTCTTCGGTGGCGTACTGAATGCTGCCCTGCAAATGATACTGTCTTGCCAGTTTGATATGGTCTTGCACCCACCAAAAGATCTGCTTGGAGATCACTACTGAATGTCTACAGAGCTAGGGATTTTCAACAACATGGTTCTACGTTTTGAGTACCTTTTAGTGGGGATCCTGACCGTATGGATGCTTCAGACTAGTATTGAAGTCGGTGCAACGGAAACACTCCACAACAGCGTACAGGGCAGGTTGGAAACTCTCCTCCAGAAGATCAGAAAGAGGGGCGAAAACGATGCCTGCAACGGGACGGTAGCGAATGCAGCAGAAAGCAACGATTCCAGAAGAAACCTGACTTGCACTGGCAAAGACACACCGCTGCCATCCTCAAAAAATCTCCTGGGGGATTCTAAGAAGACGCAATCCAGGCAAAAAGCCAAGACAAGGAACTCCTCGAAAGACAACAGCTATGACCTACACATGCCGACCCCCATCAGTAAGAAGACAGCGTTGTTTCTCCTCATCCTGTCCGCGACGTCGCCAATCGTCGGTTTGGTGTTCATCCTCTCCCCTTGCTTCGACAGCAACCCGAGTCACCGTGACCAGAACGGGACCGGCCCGAGGAGGCTGTCCTCGGCGGACGATCCCGACAGCACGAGCGCTCAGATACACATAGAGCTGGCCACGGCCGGGCCGCAGGACAACGGGCAGGAAGCCGGGAAAGTCGAGAAACAACAGTCGCTGGAGAAGGTGTCCTGTTCGTCTGAAGAGACCTGCATGACTCCGATAGCAGACAATGGGATGACCATGGCCAACTCCAATGACAAGTGACTGTTACGTCAGTGTTGTCATAGTATACAGTCATATAGAATACAACACGGGGTATCGGCCCGACCGCGGGTCGGATCGCCCGACAGCCGCAGGCCGGAGGGCGATCCGACTCGCGGGAGGGCCGGGACCGAGGGCGTTGTGGAATACACCGTGTTGTATTTTATTTATGTCATACCCACCCAAGAAAACACGCCTTTCAATGCAAGATGAGCCAAAAGTTGATGCCACTTGTCCCTAAAATGTAACAGCATCAATTCCAACGTCCGGATTCTGTATTGAGTATGTTCATATACGATAAGAGGTTGTACTCATGAAAGGAAAATGTATATGTTCAATTTTCAGAACATATATTTTTGTTGTTCTTGATGAAAGATGTAAAGTTACGGATGATACGTCAGAGGCCCCATGTAAATAAAGCTATGTATGATTTTGATGCCAAAACTACGAATATTCTTCAAAATATAATTTTTGTCATGTTTTATTTATAACAACCCCGTGGGTATATTTTGTCATTCTAACACATATCAAGTGCTTATTACGGCCAAAATACGACGAGTACCAGCGTGTTGTTATGTAAAGACATAACCGTATTGGGGCTTCTTTTATCGATCCGAGCCTACAATAGGGGCTTTTTGATAATTTTGTTTTAGATCTGAGGGTAGTTGGCAAATAAAATTAGTATCACCTCAAAGAACTAAAAAATATGCTCATAATTCTGGTATTAGTTTGTATTTTGACTAGAAGAGCTTATTGCGCAGAACTGAACTGTATGCCTATAATACTAGTTGGTACTATTCCTATGTGCTCTATAACAGCACTAGATTAAAATCAGAGATTGTAAATACTATCTTTACTTGAGAATAAAAGTGACTGGCTATTACACTGTATGTTTAGAGTGTTTTTATTGAAAATTCCAGTTAAGCATAGGCGACAATTCCCAATTAGTGTAACTCAACGAAATAAGCCGTTGTCTTTTCTTACTATGGTGAGCTGCTTTCGACATCAAAGTCACGCATAAATAATAATAGACATATTCAGGGCGATGCAATTTTCCATAATGAGTCAGTAAAACACATTTGTATAGAGATAACACATGGGTTATACACGTGGATTGGGCTAATATCAAATTGACTATCACAACGTTTATTCTTTCACAAAAATGTTTACAACACACCATAATTCTTAGATTTCTATCATTCATAGCTGGAGCATAGTCTCAAAGAAAAATGTCAGTTCCTAAAGATTTTGATTATAACAATCGTTTACATGCGCTACACAAATAGATCATTGACGCTCCCGTCACAGGTAAGTAAAACCCTACGCATGTGGAGTAATTTCCGATGATGTGTTAGGCCTTCAACTTCATTTAATCGAAGTGGAAGAGCGTCTATATCTTGAAACGACTTCTGTCTACATATAATATCCTTAAGTCTTGAATTTGTAACACTTGTTCAGTCGGTATTTCTGGTTCATTGATTGAAAAGCTTATCAACATATACATGTACATGTACAAAGGCCAGATTACGTTTTTATCCTAAATCATGAGATGTACAAAGATCACCTGACAGCCGCCGAAAGGTGCGAGGGCGCCGGTGAATGTTTACATGTAGTTAAGGACCTTACAAAAGTCGCTGTACTTTTGCTGTGTCAATAAAGTTTTATGCTACAGCAGTATGTTATTGTTTAAGTCGTACAGGATTTCACTGTGCCGGTTGTGTAAAGCTTGGTATGAACGCATGCACGAGGCTTGAGTCGGTTTAAGCTCGCAACCGGTTATATGAATCTGCCATTAATGGGTAATTCCTGATTTGTTCACTGTACTGATAAGTTCACTGTTTTCACTGTCTCTTGTGTACAGTGAACTTATCATTACAGTTAACAAATAATTCCTGGACTTTCTTTTTCCTGCACCTGTCACCACCGTGAACATATAGTTATGTGAACATGTCCATTTTTCTCAGACCGTGAAATTTTGCTACCGTGAACATAAAGTGAATTACAGGCTTAAGCAACCGGCCTTTGTGTCCGCTCCCTTAGGAACTCCATCTTCACTGTAGCTGTAGATAAGAGAGTATACATATTTAGATGTAATCCAAAGTCAGACACTACACAGATACACTGTCGTTTTAGAACCTGTTATAAAGAGGATCACTTTAAACATTGTCCCCACTTTTCGAACAGCCCCATGGGATGAAAGTAATATGAAATTCAACTTCCTTCTAAAGTATTATTCATAATTATTAAGTATATCGGGATTTAATTATCAATAATATTGTTGTTTGTTTCAACTTGCATAGCTTTTGTTTCCTCTTGTTATGTGTTAATAGAATAATAGAGATAATAGAATTTGATCACAGCCTGACATCCATCCATCTATTCCTATCTTAGAGTTGGCGAATAATGATAGATTTGTCATACAACTTGGTCCAGTAAAACCAAGTCAAAGGTTAAAGTCAACAGATTGTTGATGTGGGGATTGAGTATGTCTGTTGTACCCAACATGTACTCACCACAGGCGCTTTAGTGTAGGGTGTTCCTCAGCAGCCTGCACCACGGCCTGAAACCCTGCAAGATCCATGGAGATGTTCTCAAGTTCCAGCTCCTCCAAGGCAGGGAGTCTGGGTAGAGCCTCGGCTAGAGCCATGGCAGCGGTGTCAGGCAGGTGTGTAGGTGTGCCGATGAGCTGTGCGACCCTCCCCAGTCCGGCTCCTGTTATTCCTCTATTCCATCCAAAGTCCAGCCTCTGTAGTGTGGTGTTATAACGAGGTGCTGTAGCTGTGGTCAGACTCTTTTCCCTAGGTGGGTTTTGTTCCAAGTCCAACTTTCTGGGCTGGCAAAGTGTTTGGACAAGAGAGACAATTCCTGAATCCCCTATGTTATTCCAGCTCACATTCAGCTCCTGTAATTCCACCAGGTGAGGCAGAGTTTTAACCAGGGCTGATATTCCCCTGTCACTGATACCCGTGCTGTTGAGAATAAGTACCTTCATGGCGGTAAGGTGAGGGAGAATAGCAGCTAGGCATTCCAGTCCGGGGTCTTTTATGTCATTATTGCTAATGTCTAGTTTGATCAGTCCATTTAACTTGCACAATCCAGCCACTAGAGCGACCATGCCTTTGTGGCTTATCCTGATATCTGGCAGGACCAACACCTCCATGGCTGTGAGGTGGGGGAGGATGGCGGAAAAGCATTCCAGCCCGGAGTCTCCTATGTTGTTATAACCAATGTCCAGTTTGACGAGTCTGGTTAAGTGACGCAGTGCAGGGACCAGTGTGCGCATGCCTGTGTGGGTTATACGGGTCGCTGCCAGGTCCAACACCTGCATGGCGATGAAGGTGGGGAGGACGGTGGTGAGAGATGTCAGTCCGGTGTCACCGATCTCATTCAAGTTTAAATCCAATTCTCTCAGTCCCGCTAGGTGGCGCAGGTAGGGAGTGAGGAGCGACATGCCTGCAGATGTCATGTGTACATTCCTGAGACGGAGTACAGCCAGGTGTGGAACACTGGACAGCCCAGTCTGTAGGACTTCCATCCCAGCATCACCAAGTTTATCGATCCAAGTTAGATCCAGCTCCTCTAACTGAGGAATGTGACGAAAACCCTGCACAAGTGACTGGAGTGATGCTGGTGTTAGGGCTGTGTATGACAGATTCAGCACCTTCAGACCGGGAACATTCTTCAGAACTGAAGCCAGCCTGGCTGTCTGATCAGGTGAATTGAAATTTACAAACTTCAGTTCTAAGTATAACTGCAAACCTGGAACTGGAGAAGTAAACATCTGCTCCATCCACTGAAGTTGTCCATCTACATTAAAACGGTCCATTTTGATTATCATTCTAGAGAGGTGTGATGACTCTATATTCTCCAGGTAATACTTAAGAGCCAACTCAAACGCAGGAGCGTTTCCGATTTCCCAGCGGTACAATTCTATGTAGATAACCGGAAGGGCGTTGCTGAACGCTTGTAGTACATCTGGCTCCTTTCTCTCATTCAGGATGTCAAAGCAGAGCAGAACGAATCTTTTGTAAGTTGCAAATGACCAGTCTATGGTGCCTATGTCTGCTAGTCTCTTTCTTAGCCAATCAACGTTTAAGTCTGAAAACTCCTTGCTGCTGAGTTTACTCAGTTCTTCCATCACAGCTTTTGCCGCCCGTGAGTCACAGCCACACGTGAACTGGAGCAGGTTTTTGTGTTCTAACGCCTTGCTTATGGGGGTTAGTTGCAGCAGCCCGGATATGTCTTGATTCATCAGAGCATGTGCCACATATCGTCCTGCTAGGAACTCTTGCATTGTCTTGTGGGAAAAATTCAGCTGCTTTCGAGGATTCGATTTAGAAGAAGAAACCTCCAAGGAGACAACTCCAAGCTTTACCAACAGCTTCCAATTCAGATTTTCATTCTCTGCTTGTGAAACGTCAAGCAGAGTCTCACCCCTTAGCAGTGCCTCTAGCGCAAGGTTGCCGATCTGCAGCAATGCATCAGCCAAGTCTGCCGGCAGTCCGTCTGTTGGCATTTCCACACCTTCTCGCTTGCAGTGCTTCTTACCAAGACATGTCAGGAGGTTGCTGTACAGATCTGTCATTGTCCCTGGTGACACCATCTCTGGGTTATCCTCCCACAGTACACAGACTAACATCAGGAAAATCGGGGTGTGGAGTAAATCCGTAACAAGAGGATTTTTTCTTACTACCGTGATGAGTTCCTTCGCTATTTCAGCTGTTCCGACTATTTCAAAGTACTGCCGCACGTATTTGTCCACATGTTCAGGAGAGAAGCCCATGATGTGTACGTGACAGTCTGGCCGGGTGTACTGCTGCACTCCTGCTGAGGGACGGGAGGTGATCACGACCGTGCTCTTGAGGTACATCTTACTAGACAGCAGTTTGGGAATGGCCTGCCCGGCTTCCCTGGCTTCAGGCCGCAGCTCATCATACCCATCTAGGAGGAAGAGCACACGGGACTCGTTCCTCTGTAGGATCGCTCTGATGGACTGTACATCAATACCTTCAGTTGTTTGAGAAACACACTGGTCCCACACCATCTCCTCTATGGTCTCCCCCTCCCACACCTCCCGGAGTCGGATCAACAGGACGATGTCGTGCCGTCTACCCAGCTCTGTTTTCTGTGAGACGGCATCTAAGGCTTCTTTGGACAGAAATGTTGTCTTCCCCCCTCCAGCTTCACCCTCAATCAGAATGCACCTTGGAGCTTCGGACTTTCCTGTAACTTCTGATTTGAATAAGTCGTCTAAGGAATCTAACTTGCTTCTCTTATTAGTTTCTTTTCTGTTTGTTGGGTTTGTAGATATTAACTCCAAATTAGTGAAAATATCACTAAGCCTCAGTGTAAAATTGTCATTCCAAATGGCTGGTTTGAACGAATTGATTGTTGCATTGTAATAGCTCTCAATGGCATCGCGGAACCGTTTTGTGTCGTGACCAAGTCTGTCAGTACTTGCGACAATTGTGTGGCACCTGCTCAATTCTGTTAAAAAAAGCACAAAGATTCGAAAATCAATCCTAGTTCTGTACGATATTTTAGGAAAACACATTGTATAGGAACACACCATTTTCCATTTGTCTAATGGCTAGTGCCTGGCGATACAATTCAAAACACAGATATGCTTAAAAGACCTAGCAATGTTATTCAAAAACAAAAATTCGCTTACCTGGGTATTTGTCCCTTAGCCCGTCCACAGTACTCTGTAACTCAGCCTCAGACAGAGCCTCCATCAGGACCTCTACGGTGGCTCTGTCCCCGTTCCGCTTGAGCCATTCCTCCAACAGGTCCATACAGCGGGACTTGTCATCCCGGTTCCTCCCGGCTATGTTGTCGGTGTCTGATCGGCGGAAGTCGAGATGGAAGGCCAGGTCCTTCCAGTCTGAGCTGACGTTTTCTTTGATGAAGAAGAAATACTTTCTACATATCCACCTGTTACCGCGACATCATGACACTCTAATTCGTTGGCTACCCGTACGCTTAAGTCCTTACAACTATTCCTATTCTAACTTCCTAGATTGAAATAATGAACGAAACAAAACTTGCAAAGTCGTTAGGGTTGTTTACACAGACTTACCTCTGAAAACGTTGCTTTTGTTCTTCAAATCCAATCCAAGTTCCGCTTTTTCAGCACAGGTGTCAGCTCGGCGCTTTTGTTTTCAACTCGGCGAAAAGTTCCAACTGACGTTCGTTCAACCCGTTTCCTTCAGGACTGTTGAAATGTTAGGTATTTCCTGGTACCTTTGTAGGTGTAGTGGTAAATCAAAACAAATAAAACCTGCCAAACTTGAGTTTTACAAAGTTCTAGTCCGGCTGCCCCCCAACCACCGCCATGGTGGCAGGGGACTGGAACACGGTCTAGTCTATTCCATCTAGAGGGGCGCATTGAAAACTTTTTGCTGAGCTTAAAGTCAACAACTGTGACGTCAATGGCGCGACCAATCATGACGCGATGCCAGATCAACCTTAGCACTTGGGTGCTGGCGTCGAGCCAAATTTCTGCTGATGGGCACCGCGACTGCGCGGAGTTGGGGTTAGCGCTAGAACCATATACATGGTTAGGGTTTAATAGGGCTATGTTTTCTTGAATTTCTTGCTTTATTCATCATCACGAATTTCTCTTTTACCGCCTTCCCACAGGCGACTGGGCAGCTTTCTGCTAGCTAGCTCCCTGCCATCTTTCCGGGGAGCTAACGTCCTGTGTCTGACCTTTTGAGGTCTGTGGTTATGGAATCCCCCTACCCACTTACTGTCACTCAGCTGTACGAACCCACACGCGCGCGCACACACACAAACACACCTCAAACAATACCGCCGTATAAGGCCGTAAAAACTGCATACGAAAAAACATTGCATATTCAAAACAAAGCAGTTGCTTCCTTACTGAATATGTACAGGTCTGCTCCAGACAGATGATTAGAAGAAGCCATTTCACACGATGGCAGACATCTATGAGGACGCCTGTACCGTAAACCCGACAAGCTACCCGGACGAGAAGAGCGGCCCTACACTGGACCTGTCACCGGCCGCTGGGGGTAAAACAGGTACGTTAACGTTAGTGAACCAGCAGCTATAGGGACATCAAAACAGACACAATATCATAATGCAGTTTTTTTTAATTTCTTTGCTCTATACTCCCAATGTCACCCTGGTAATAAAAAAAAAACATTTATCTTAAAACATTTGCCCGCAAATCTGTCCAGTGTATTATTTGAAAGGGGATCCTGACGCTACAGATCTTTGCACGTATCAAAAAGAATCCACGATTCCTCTCGATATCCAGAAGAGTAGGGGAGGCGCGGTGCGCTTGAAAACGCTAGATATGCCGGCCGATATGATATGGCCCAGTCGCTTGGCAACTGGTCTGTGTGGTGATTGAAAAAAAAACACATCATGCTTCGCCTCATTTATTCTTACTACTTTCCTTCTTGTATTTTCACAAAGACCCATTGTTTGCTGTCGCAGATTGCTTTACGTTCAAACGTTCAAATTTCAAAGCTCTTTACCCATAAAGCCTTTTTCTTGCCGCACAGAATAAGAAGACTGTGTCATGTATCCCGTACCCAGACATGGTTAAATACATTGTAAATGCAAGTGTGTATCTCTACTGTTACAGGTACTGTTAAGCCAGGCTAAGAAAGTTTCAATCTGACTTTTGTAGTCACTATGTGTGATGATACGTTGGTGAAGGTTACTCATCCAGGAATACGATAAATAGATAAAGCTGTTTAGTCTTTTCAAACTGGATAATTGAAAGTTTAATGTGTTTACACTTTAAACTTTCAATTATCCAGTTTGAAAAGACTAAACAGCTTTATCTATTTATGTGTGATGATATTTCCATATTTGTTAAAAATATCGGGTTTTGGGCTCATAATGACTTCAAGAAAAAACAGGGTCATTGTGTAAATATATGTCCATTTATGTGTACATACATGAACGTATAAAATATGCACATACATATATAAATGTATATATTTGTACTGAAATTGTCTGGGATACTACGTAATGCCTACAAGGTAATGACGTCATGCCTTCAAGGTTCAGGATTCACGTGAAATTTCACGTGGCCTGAAGGCAGCTGCCCACCAGACAATATTACATCAGGAATAAAATATACCAAATATATACGCAGGCGGATTCATCCATCTGATATTGTGAAGCCGTGTGTATACATGTAGCTGTTTCTATGCCATGTAGCCATGCGTTAAAACTATTAACTATGAAACAGAATGCACTCAATAGAAAAGTTTTTTTTATTCACAACTACATGTACTTGCCTAGGAGCCGGTGTTTCGATGACAGTCTGCGTCTGTCATCTTCATTAGGGCACGTATCAGGTCATCTGCTGAAGATGACAAACGGTCATCGAAACATTGGCTCTTGTCAAACATGTGATTGTGAAAAAGAACTTCGCTATTCAATCACTCACCAACCTAATGAAATTAATTACACGACAGAATATATTTACCCTTCAGACGTGTCCAGTTCAGAGTGCGATGAAAACTTCCCAGCTCCGGATATTGCTGACCACCATGGCTACATCCCGGGAGTGGGCATGGCGACCGCTGGTCAGTCTCCAGGCCGGTTCGGTCCCCTGCTGAAGATCATCAGTTTCATCCTACTGATGCTGTCCTGCTGTCTCCTGGCTGTTGTTGTGTGCATGTGTGAGTAAAGCGTTGTTATTTCCTGCTACGGAAGTATTGTTTTATGCCAAGGTTACATTTTCAAACCGGGGCCTGACCGGGTAGTCTTATGGAACGAATGGTATAAAAGATAACAAAGCACAGCTTTAAAAATAATAATCGGAACTATTTGCACATATCAATGATATAAATTGTTGATTTTTTTGATGATCGAAACTGCCCGGCCGGGCCCCGGTTTGGAAATGTGATCTCAGCATTAGGTAGCCTCCTTATGCTGAGGTGCGAGGTCATATTTCCATGCCGGGGCCCGGCCGGGCAGCTTGCGTGACCAATTCATTACAAACATATACAGTACACCAAGGGCTTATGATCAATTTTAATTACCTTTACTTCAAATCCAGGCTTGGCTATTCAACAGTCAGTTGACCAGGAACAGGAAGAGATGGGGAAGGTAAAAATTCCCATTTATTTGCCAAAAAACAGTTACTCAAGCAACTGGATATGATTTTGAAAACGTCATTTATTTGTTTCTTAAAATACAGTAGTTTGTTTCCAATCCTGATTGCCATCAGATTTCTAAACATCTGAACAGTAGATTCAGTGAGACAAGATATATATGAAGCTTAATGCAGACTTTAACTTCTTCAAAACTTGACAGGTCACAAGGATGGAGCAACTGTTGGCCAATGACCTGTCAATCATCCTGACACGTCACGAGAACCTGACCAATCAGATGAGCCAGCAGTTGATGAACCAGGAGGCAATGATGAAGAAGCTGTCAGACATCCTGACGTCCCAGGAGAACATCACCGGTGGGTGGAGCCAGCTGATGGAAAAGATGTCAGCCATCGGTGGTGGGAGCGATGAGGAGCATATTAAAAAGCTGTCCTCCTCAATCGTACGTGAGGTCATGCAACAGTTCATTGCCAGGAGGAAGCACATGTGGTTTGGTTAAGAATCAAGTCATTTGGAGAGAATATGTTTTAATTCACATTTCAATTTCTTGTCATAATCAACGACGATCATAGTATTATTCAATCGTCTAGCGTGTTTGCACCAAATAAGCACAATTTTCTTGTTATTATCATGAAATTTAAAAATCACTCTGCACTATCTTACAATGGAAAAACGATGATCAAGCATCTCAGAAGTTTGTTTCGTGAAGTGCAGAAAATACAGCAGCGCTACATTTGTATTGAGAAAAAACTCATCAATTCTGTCTATATTTTTGCTTTAATCAATTTATTCTTTACTTGTGCTTGATTCAATTAACAACACTTAGATGTGAGAAATATAGTTTGTATAAAAATATCTACAGCAATTGGCCCTTATCAGGTTGGTACATATTAACATGTGTCAATCTAAGATACATTTTATGGAAAAAACATCATGTACAGATGTCCTAGATTCAACTGTATTCAATATCAATCAAATCATCTATTGCTATAATATGTAAAAATGTCATATTGGAAAAGCAATGTCACACTTGTATGCCTTAATATTGGCATTTTGTGTAACATTTAATACATTAAATTACATTTGTGGTAAAATACATGTACCTATTGCAATTACAGATTTGGAAAAAAAAGTGCAATCTCATGAAACAATGCATTGGCAACCAAAATCATGTTTCCTACAAAACATTCTTTTTTTAAAAATTGATACATTGGTTAATTGCACTGATGTGTCTCTCTTTTCTCAATCTTAAAATAATTTTTGAGTCATATTATCAAGTTACTAGTACAATACGCTGGTTCACATGTACTGTGCATGTGCAGTGTAATGTATTGATGGTAATATATCAAAGATGTATACATATGTACAGAATCATACCAATCTCTTTTAATTACTTGTACACACAAAAAAGAGTGTTCAAATAAAAATTTGTCCAGAATTTGGCAATACAATGGCTTAATTTTGTTCCACTTTATATTTACTACTACATTGTATGTGTATTGTTTACAAGTTTTGTGGCATAAAAATCAATGACAGCACTGCAATTCTTAATACAATAGCACTGATACATAGCAGTATACATACAGTACAAACTTTATAATCAGTATATACAGTGTGGAAACAACCATTCTTTCCACAGTAACAACATTTATTGAAAAGCTGTATATGGATGGAAAGGAGAATAAAGAGAAGTAACGATGGCAAAAATTGTCAAAGAATTCTTCTTTCTTATCAAGCTTTTGAATGATTGTACTTTTACACATAAACCCTTGAGATGGAAAGATGGTTTTGTTGCAAGTGAGAAATTACCAACCACACATACACTTACACTAGGAACAATTTTACCCTGCATACCCTATATTTGTATATAAAATCATAACATATATCTTTTCTTTTTACAACATATCTACATGAGTCTTCTGGCATTTCAACTTTTGAGGCAATCACATCAGTAACAAAACTTTTATAACTTAAAAACGCAAATGGTGGTAAAATGCTAATTGCAATGGAAGGAAGACTTTCTATTTTGATATTTCACCATAATGGCAAATTTCTAAGTTCATGTGAAAATTTGATAAATGTCAATAAAATCATGTACTATAATCTAGCAACAGAGGCAGCTGGTGTGTTATACCTTGAGATAGTGTAACATTTATGCCATACAAACAAACAAAAATCAACCAAGTAAAACTACATCATACAAACTGAAGGGGTGATTTAGGAAAATATCACAAAAATGCACGTTACATAAAAAAATTTGAAACTTCCACAAAATTTGATAGCATTGCAGCTGTTCACATAGAGTCACATAGAGTAAAATGCAACAACTGCCTCAATATGAGCTTTCCCAAAATATCATTCAAGATTTTATCTATGACTATATTGAAAATACACATCTTTCATACTTCTTTCGCTCAGTACTTCTCCATGCATATACAGTGTATTGCTTATCATAATTACATTATTTTTAACTGCCTTTTTTCTTATCTGTATTTCCACAAGGCCATCACAGTCAAATGCAGGAACCTGGCTGATGTTTACATGGCTTCATTTAGAGTGTATCAAATGTCTTTTATTTGAAAAACTGGGCGTTGTCACAACAGAATGTTATCAAATTGTCATGATGCAGGCATATATAACTATTATTGATTTGTTGAGTAACCATTGAAATCAATGGACTTTGATACAATATTTGTTGTTAAAAAATCAAATTTTCTTAAACTTACAAATAAGTGTCCTCTAATTCATCAATCTCTTCAGCTGTCATTTCGTCCACAGATTTTCTTGGAGAGGACAAATTCTGCTTTTCTGGTTTTGTCCCATTTTCGAGGGCATCCCCCTGTCCCTGTATCTCAGAACTCTGTTCTGTTGTATCTTTTCTATCCTCTGTAACCTCTGCCCTTTGACCTTCATCTATGACCCCTTGCCTGTTCTCTACCTGATGATCCCCAACCTCTGTGATTTCTACACTGGAAGATTTGTCCGTTTGTCTTATTTCTGATGGTTTTTCCTCTATGCTAGAGTTTGAAACTTCCTGTATGCTAGTGTTTGAAACAGCTTCTACAGGTGTATCTGGCGCAGAAGTCTCCTGTGACTCAAAACTTCTAACCTCGCTACTTTCCTCCTTTCTAGCATTGTCCTCTTCATCTTTCCTCCCTGTAACTGACCCTGCTGTCTGACTTTCTTCAATGGCTTCTACAGTTTCTTTCACTACCACATCTTCCAAAGGAACTTTAGGTTCTTGGTTTTGAAGTGCACTGCCTTCAGTAGACTCAAACATGACTTCATCCTGCCCTACCTTCTGTTCTATCACCTCTTCCCTACATTCAGAGACTTTGACCTCATTTGGTAAACTTGTATCACATTCTACAGCCACATTTGGCATATTTGTCCTATCCCCTTCATTTTGCAATGTAGGAAAACTCTCAGCCTTAACCACCTCTGTAGAGGTATCCTGTTGTTGTTCAACAACCTCTTCAGCATTAACTTTACCTGGTACAGTAACAATTGCATTTTCATCTGCACAATGTGACATATCTTCTTTATAACCCTCCTCTACAACATCTTCAAAAGATTTCTCAACATCATCAACTGCCTCTTGTTGCACATGTACATCTATGTCTTCCTTTTCTGTTTTGTCTGTTTCTATCTCTGGCATATCATCATTTTGAGAAGTGTCCTGACTATTTTGAGAAGTGTCCTGACCATTTTCTTCTGTTGTTTCTGTCTGCATCTGTATTTCCTCGATTCGATGTTGTTCCTCCTCCATACATGTGGCTGTTCCTGCAACTGCCATGTCACCATCTCCTGCTGTTACCTTCTCTGTCAGCCCTCCCACTACAGCTTGTACTGCTGGAGCCGTTCCTTCAGTGTAACTTCCTCCCTCCACAGCTTGTCCAGATTCAGTAGCTGTTCCCTCAGTGGTACACCCTCCCTCTGCAGTCTTCTCTACCACGTCCTGGGAACAGGCGGCGCCCACAGCAGAACTAGAGGAGACACTTTCGCCGACGCTGCTACTATGAGAAGTGAAGGAGCCTCCTCTATCCCTTCTGCTGAGACTGGCGTCATCCGTCTGGGCGATCATGGACGCGTCGTCTGTGGTGGAGTCTGTATCCAGACTATTGCCGTCATCCAGGTCGGAGTACTGCGAACAGGAATCCACATCTAGAAAGTGAGGGGGAAAAATCTAGTGTTAAATTTCAATGTTAGATTAAACGTTAGATCTTACCATCAGAATATTTTAAGGTAAAACTTGCATGAGTACACTTTCATTTTCCATGTCACTGTTGCAAAACCAATTGTACACCGTTTTATCACTCAGGTGTCAGATCATAGAGCTAGAAAACATCCTTGAGCTAGAACATTTCATGTCCCTTGCAGGGATCCACAGAAAAAGGCTAGGGTCAGCAGTTTTTTCTAGCATTGGTCAGGAAACAGGAAAAATTTTTCCTGTACCATCCAGGTTGATTTCCGGCAGGTCATCTCTGTCAGCCTCGGCCCCGACCCCCGCACTGCGCGGCTCCTTGAGAAGTTGTCGGTTGCGGTGGATCTCGTCTGAGATGCTCTCCAGGTTCTTTAAGGCCTCTCTGTACTTGACCTTGGACGCTGACACGGCCTTTTGAAGGTCTTCCACATTCTGCTTCTGTTGCTGTTAGAAAGTAGCAGAGAAAAGTTTACATTAAACAACATGGAATAGGAAACCTTATTTGCAAATTAGTTTTTATACAAATTAAACTCAATCTTTTTTAAACAAGTTTGACAAAGGCTGAAACAAAGACATCTTAAAACAATTGAAGCTTGATCTTTTAAGTTCTAGAAAATAGTTTGTGGTTTATTTATACTGTCAGAATATAAAAGCAGATGATATATCAAGCAACTTACCAGAAGTTGTAGCTCAAAACTGGTCTTGACATCAAAATATGGTCTGCAGAAAACAGATACAGCAGGTAAGGTTTAGTGTAGGTCCGTACGTTCGAGGAAAGCCACACCCCAAGCACATTTAACTTTAAGACCCCACCACACTTATCGAAATAGTAGGGTCCTTGCTACTGTGTGGCTCAAACCTCACAGTCTGGTCTCTTGGTTGACATCTATTCTTGTAAAGGTGATAGTCACCTGTTATATCAATCCTTCCTCATATGTGTGGAAAATCTTAATAAATAGAGAAATGGACATACTTGGTTTTAGCGATGACTTTCTTGAGTGACTTCTCCAGCTGCTGAAGTTTGTGGTTGGCTGTGTTGTAGGCCTCAGCTTTCTGCTGGTGGTCATGTTCGCTCTTTGATCGCATCTGTTCTGCCTCCATCACCTGCAAATCCAAACAAGGAGTTTCCATCAATGAAAAAAATTCATGCTTTTGTTCTTTTACTGCCCCCCTCCCCCATGATGCATTTATCATCTGGATCATAATGAATTTCAATATTTTAGTGATTTTTACTGTATTGCTTGTGCTTCCATAGACCAATGAAAAATATGATTGAGAAATTATTAAAACGAATCATGTCTGTCAGTCTAAAAAGACTATGCCATTGACTTAAACTGTGCAAAATGGGATGTTACAGTTCCTCATGCCTTTACAAATTAGTACATTTCCTTCACATTACATAGACTAAAATGCATCACACTGGTCTGAATTGAACTTGAATCAAGGTAGCTCATTGGTTCCTCATGACCCATGACCCGACCTTCATGGTGGCGTGGTTCAGCATCTCCTGCCAGGCGGAGTCGAACTGTCTCTTCTCGTCCGCGTCGCTGAACAGCCGCTGTTCCGCCAGTGAGATGGTCTCCCGGGCGGCGCGGTGGATCCCGTTTGCACGCTGGTACTCAACCGCTGCCTTCTGCGCTTCCACCTGGGCCTGTTAGAAATCAGATGTACTTTTTTATTTGTACTTAAATAAAATCATACATTGTGTGGCATTAAATGGCCAAGTGATTAGGCTAGCAGACACAAGACCAAGAGGTCATGGGATCATCAATTCCTGGCATTCCTAGCAAGACATTTAGCCTGTGAAACCCAAGCTCATAGTCCCTAGGGAGCTGGCGAAAAGCGAGGTTCAGTCAGGCTAGCAAGACATTGTGTCTTTGGGAAAAGTACAGATTGTGACTTTCCTCACTTCACCCAGGTGTAAAACAGGTAGCTGACTGGTTTTTCAGGTAAAAAGAGGTAAAAGGCAAGGGATAGATTTTGGCAAGCAACCCACTGCCCCTACAACCCCCAAAAAGGGTATAGGACTACCTTTATCTACCTACCTTCTATCATACATTTAACCACCATGTACCTGTTTGGCCATTTTCTTGGCGTCGTAGTACGGCCGTGCCTTCTGTACAGACTTGCCCATCTTCTTAGACAGGAGGTTCAGCTTCTGGGTGGACTCTGTTAGGGTTTGTCGGAACAGCGCTCGGGCTTCCTAAACATACAGGACAATAGGCTCATTAGAAATATATTATGGCTCAAAATGCTTATTTCTGTATACCTGCACCAGTGCAGGCAACATTCAATATTACCTGCATGAAATTAATTTTACCTATAATACAGTTTCTTTGCCTTTCAGTTCACAAAAAAACCCTACCATGTATGTTAAAATGTTGATGTGTATACATGTAGTATATAGAAAAGTAATGTATATATATATATATCTAATATTGAAAGTTCCAAATTGACAGAAGCATCTGTGTTTATCTAGACAGATACTTACCAGCGTGTGTGAATACTATACAGTGTGTTTTGAATCAACAGTTAGAGTCTTGTTCATTGCTACGTGTACATTACATCCAACCACAACTGTCATAACATCACTCCTCAAAATCTGAATTTTTGAAAGATACAATCATGTAACTCCCAAAGATATATGTAACTCAAATTACAGGACTGCAAAAATTTGTCACATGACTTGCAATACACACAAATTCTCCTAATTATACTGCTTAATTAGTTTTACAGATATGTTACAAATTTCTGTACTTACATCCAACTCTGCCTCCAACTTGTTGATCTCATTGCTGGCAGCATTCAGTCTCTCCAACTCCTCCTGAACAGTCAACAAGAAATTCAAGAAATCAGATTTCAAGTATTCTGAGTTTTCATGTAATAGTATATGATAATGCAATGTTACATGTACATTTTAACTCCTCTTGTCCAAACCCTTTGCTCGCTCCATGGGTCACCTTTCCCATCCCTGCTCCGCGACCCCAGAGTGACATGTGGGGGTCTTACCCCTCTCATAGTGCATAGCGAAACCGCTGAGCCAAAAATCTAATCATTGGTCTCATCGCATACCAAATATCAAGACATTCTTATGATCCAAGCCTTCTCAAGTTATCATGTTTACTTACAGACACACATACAGACACACAGACACACAAGAATGCCACCAAAAATAATAGTATAACCTTCTTGGCAAAGACAACAACTGAAGATCTCAGGTTGTTTGACATACTTTAATCTGGTTGTAAAGACAGAAACTGTATAGGGTTAGAGGGTTACACGAATGCTATCCTCAGTCTCCCCCATGTGTTACCTGTAAGTCTAATTCAACAACAGGCCAAATCTGGCAACAACACATATCTTGTTTATTGGCTGACCTCCAAGGAGAGCAACCGGACAAAGCTAGATCAGGCTTCTATTCTTCATTAGCAAGAGTTTATAGTAAGACCATGGAGTTAACTCCATGGTGAGACCGCCACATTGAAAATATCTACTGATAAAACGCAGCATGAAAAAAGTTCCCAGGTATGTACACAAATACAACTCCACAACTAACTAATTAAAAGTCAAGGTAGGTCAAAGCTGCACTCTTCATGTGTCTTGCTAAGTGGAAACTTGAAATCAACCTGACCACCCATAAATTTGAGCATAAAATACCAATGGTACAGCCCTATCATTCACTAATTGGGTCCCATCCAATCTAATTAATTAAACCATCCAGTAGGAAGTAGACTGACTAATTGGGAGCCCCAGAAGGTATTGTGGTATGGGATTGCACTAGATTTTCCAGCTGTGCCCAGATAGAGCTCTTCATAGCTGGCATGGCTCCAAATAAATTCTCCATGACTCTTATTCGATATTTGGGTTGGAATTTGCCATGAATCTGTACCAATTATAAAAGCACTGCCACAAAGACAATATTATCGAAACAAAGTCACTGTGCTATACAACTGCCCTGGAAGCAACAGAGAGTATAGCAGAAACCACAGCAAATTCAGGTCACCGCAGAAAACAATATACAATAGGGCCACAAATTTCAAGGAAGCGTATCAGTTTTGAGAACCCAACACAAAGCATTTTGCGCACATGTGAGCATATATGGGCTTTAGAAGGTACAGAAATTCAAGTACGCCCTGCCTTTCGTATCCGGTACATGTTACCGTCTCCGCAAAAACTTTCCACGGAAGCCAGGCCGGACATTTTGAGTCCCTGTGTTGTTGACAGAAAGATTCTTCCCTCCCTGCACAGAAGTCCTGGTCTATTCATACCAGATGCCGGGGAGGCAAATATCCCAGAATTCCTGCTGGTAGGGTCTTTGGAGATGGAAATGGAGTGTGCCAAGTTCCCCCAGGGGTCAGCTTAGGGCAAGGGGAGGGGCTTAGCCTGGGATTAGGAAGTGTAGCCTCCACCAGGCCAGGCTGTACCAGGCTTTCCTATGGGTATAGAGGTGCCAATCGGAGAATTCGGAGAAAAAAAGGAAATAATTGGCCAGGAGAGTCAGTCCGCAGGAAGTTTCACATTCCCAAACTCTATGGTAACTATTAACAGTTGAAAAATTCAAATTGTAAATAAACTGCTATCACAGATTTTCTGAGTACAACCGTTCGGTTCTAGTATATGGATTTTTCAGGACTTTATATAACCTGTATCTGCTTTTAAGTTTAATATATTTTGTCTGAGCCTGACCTCTTCCCTCATGACCCAATTGAGAGGCAACAAGCAGACTGATTTGAGTATTTCATGAATTAAAACAAAGGCTCAAACAAGCAAGCAAACAAACAAGCAAACCTACTTTGTAAACTGCTACATCATGTACAATCCCATGAAGAGATGTAGAAATGTCTACAACTTCAGGTGAGTGCGTTTTCTTCTGCACCCACTGCAGGACAGCTCCCAGTATGATAATAAACGACAACATCTCCCAAACCAGCAAACACACGAAGCAGCGAACACTCAGCAACAGTACAGTTATCAAGGCACAGTTGACATACTATGTGATACAAATGTACCACATGTAGACCACATGTAGTCCTAGTGATATCACGTATCACACACTTGAGTATCTCCTTATATAGCTGATATGATACAAGAGGCATCTGTTTGTGCTATCAAGCTTTCAGTGCTGACCTGGTATGAATGAAAAACTTCTTGACACATATTTCATTGGTCATATTATTAGCTACATGAAATCTATGGTCAGAAAATCTTTCATTGGATGCCTAGGCCTGTTTTTTTCACCCCGTCACTTCATGCCTTTTTCTGAAAAAAAAAATCAGAAAAACCAACAAATGAAATTGGTGCGGCATTGCTAACAGTTTGAAGTATGCAACATAATACAACATATTATAATGTATTTGGTGATTAAAAAATTTAGCCACAGTTACCAAGAAAATCTAGCCACAGTTTCCAAGAACAGGGAGGTAGAATTTCCTACCCAACCTGCTGTTGATACAGAACAGCTGTGGGGTAACCAAGGGTCAAGAAGCCATTAACTACTGTAAACTCATGTATTTTTGCAAAGACTTAATTGCCAACATGGAGACAAAAGGAGGTATTTATAGGTGTTTTAAGTGTCATGTTGAAAAAGTTTAGTTGTACAGTACTAAATGTATGAAGCACATGTTCACTGTGTTTTGATTTCGTGGCAAATGCCAAAATAAAACTACATGTACTGCGAATATTTCATGATCTACTGTATTGTTCAGAAAGCCGGATATGTGACTGAAGGTGACACCAAGTGGTACAGAGGACTAGATATCTACATTCTTCAGTTTGAAGTAAAACAGCAAGTGTTGGAAAGGCATTAAAATAATCTAAGCCAAGGACAGAACTAACACTTGGATTGTTGAGCTCAACTGAATGAATGAATGAATGAATGAATGAATGAATGAATGAATGAATGAATGAATGAATGAATGAATGAATGAATGAATGAATGAATGAATGAATGAATGAATGAATGAATGAATGAATGAATGAATGAATGAATGAATGAAAACATACAATATGGAAATGGCGAACTTGACTTACCCATGGACACTCTAACACTCAGTATAACGTACCCAGGACACTTATCTAACTAGTAATAGTGACTTGTAATCTACATGTGTATGCCCGGAGTGGTGAAACTTCTGAGGGAAGAACTGAAAAAAGAACAATCTGGTCCTAGACGTACTTTGTACATTCATTTGGAGATTTAGTGTGAGTCTGTGAGAATAATATTGCTCGTAGCAACGATTTAATTCGATTTTTCTGACTTGTAATGTCTCGAGGTGTAGTCCTTTTAAGACCAAGTGCAATATGTAGAAATAAGACTACAGTATTTAGTTACATTCTAAATATTCCTACAGATATTAGCTGCGGCATTTCCCCACAGATATTAGCTGCGACATTTCCCACAGATATTAG